TAATAAGCCTGCAAGTGGTTGCCATATTCTAGAATGGTAGGGTTATATTTTGCACTAATAAAACAAGTATTCATTCACGAATTACTTGATACTTTAGGTAAACATTTAAGCTTAAAAGTGAGTCAAGGTGCTTTTTTATGTAGTTCCAAGGCCAAAATATTATATGTTTTGATATTGTGCAGTGTAAAGAGGATTTCAAAGAATTTGAAACAATTCTTAATTTAAGCGTATGCTTAATTAATCATTCTTAAAAGCAGTGAATCTTGATGAAAAAGAGCAAAGAACAAAGAAAAAGCTACAGGAACCTCCTACAGAGAACATTTTACTACATCCACAAGGCGGAAAGGTTCTCCAGAATTTAATGACTTATTGAAAAGCTTTGTCGTTCATTTGCACGGATTCAACCCAGTGCCTCTAATATCTTACTGGCCTGTTTTGAGTTACGGATAGTAAATCACTGAACTCACAAAGTGGCATACTTAGGACGTTTTCCCAGAAAGAGTACCGTATCGTATCAATACGGTTATTCAAGTTTCCCATTTAACCAATTTACTAGCTACTAACTGTGCAACTTTGCATAAAAGGCAAGTCAACTGCATGCTCAGCTGCAATAGTAGAGAGCTTAAGTAACTACGACGACGACCACAACGACGACTTCAAAAAAACAATAGGTTCTGAACAACAGCTCTGCACGTGCATCACGCTTTTTAGTACTTTTCTTTGACGTCCACTGCACGACTACGACTTGAAACCTCCTATTTTGACGTTTTACAGAGGACGTGGACAAAACGACGACGAATTTTCCTTCCTCTTTTTGAACCTGAATAAAATCCTTAAGAATTCAACTTCAGGAAAAGTTGCCTGCATTTGACATATTGAGCGGGTCCAAATAGACGCGATTAAGTTTGAAAGAACGCAAATTCATTTTCTTACCGACGTTTTCACTGCCGTCGTCGTCGTCCTTGCTTAAGGTCCCTAGTGATGTTTCAAATTTAAGCATAGACACACCAAAAGTCACCTGTACTTAAAATCTACCTTACTGGCCTTTATTAAGGGGTCACCTTAATTATCATTTAAAAGAGATACGCGGTCAGTCTCAGTAACAAATTCTTTAGTGTAAAATTAATCTGCTTTTTACTGCAATTCCATGCTTTACCATGTTGAAGGTTAGCGTAGGATACAGGCTACTTCACTTGCCGTACGGAAATACTAGCGTCCATTTTAGCGCAGTACTTATTTTTACTTAGAGAAAGGTATCGTCAGCTGATATCACAACTAATAAACTGAACAATCGCTGAAGGCTTCCAGCCATTTTAATACGCTGTGATTGGAGAAATTTACCGTAAAATCCTGAAAAAGAATAAAAAAGGGCTCGAGTATAAATCCTCCATTGAAATTCAAAACGCAGAAATACTTCTTGTTATGCTGAATGAAAAGCTTCTAGTATTAGTTTTCGAGGAACTGTATTTGTTTACTGCCGTAAAATACCAAGAAAAAAGTATCAGAAACGCACGAGAGAAAGACTAATAGGTATCGATACTGTTCAAAAACCCTGACGCGAGTCTCTACTTGCTAGATTTACATCCAGCTTTTATCACTGAGTTTTCACGTGTAAGGTATTACATTTTTTATATATTTTTTATATAGTTTATTGTCGTTGCATTTGAAGTTAGCATGTTCTGAGGAATGAACGTCGTCATTAAATTTCTTTTTAATGCCCCGACATTATCATTTGTTTTTGGTAGGCCGCCAAACAGTGACATGACTCAGTATGTTTAAATACCAAAACCTCTCTTTAATTTCCTAAACTCACTGATAGGTTTAAACTGCTTTAGTGACCACTAAGCGAGGTTATGTACCAATCAAAAACCTAGGGCGTTCCAGAATTAAGACGACGGAGTGGTACGCAATGTTAAACCGGGTTAGACTGATTGTAATAAAGTCTTGTTTTTCATTTTCGTTTAGATAAAAACAAAACATGACATGTTTGTCTTGGTTATAAGTGCGGCAGAGGACATTAAACAAGTGTGAAAATAAATAACACCAACCAAACTTATCCAAATTAATTGCTTCCGACTGCAAAAGCGAAATTCAGTGTTAACATGTCAACCAAGAGGATATCAACCCATTTCGCCATAGCTCGGAGTTCTGTATAGCAAGGGCTTGCTTTTTCGGATAAGATCGCCACTAAGGCAAAGTTTCTCAACTGTATTAAAAAGCAGTGATACATTCGGTACGACTTTAATATTAACGAACTGGAACTTCGATGTCAACTTTAAGTGGCCATTAATAACGAGTTTCTGGAAGCAAACTGAATGTGCAACTTTTCTTTCATTGATGGGTTTATTTATCTTAGAGGATATTATACTTAAAATATGTTTGTCTTTTCTGAGGCGTTCAAAATTAACTTCCTGACGATTTCTTTTTAGTGCAAAACAAATTAAAAAGCCGTGATGATAATGTTTTTATTAATGTTCTGAAATTAAAAAAAAAAAAACATCTAATTATATTCATTGAATGCAGAAAATTGACAGTTTGTTGATTATAGTTTAACCTTTGGACGCTAGCAAATTTGAAACGTTTTTAAGGCTTAATTAAATCTTCAATTTACTGCTTTAGTGGCACTGTCCTGGTGTGTTAGTGAGTTTGTAAACCATGGTAACCTATCTTACCGTCAACTTCTCTCAGGAATTGGAAAAAAGGAACAAAGAAAGAAAGAAAAAGAGAAGAAAGAATTTTTTTCGAAAACGGTGTCTCAACCCGTAACTGCCAGCCCGGGTGTTGGAGCACACTTACTTAATTTCTTTGAATTTTATTGTAGGTGGTCACAAGGACGTTCGCTTGAGCCCGGAAGATGCTAATTCATTCGGCGGCAAGGTTCGCAGATCGGCACTTCACAAACTTTTTGGTATAAACATTTATCACGAATGTTATGTTGAGGGCTGTTCGTTTGAAGAGGTCAATGAAGTTGACGAAATACCATCCAAACAAAAAAAAGTGAGTAGCCTCAAATTCATTTCATTTCTTGATATCATGCGATAGTCCAGTTTTAAATTCGTCGCGGCCGCTGAATAGAAGCACTGAAGACTCATTTATACAGGGTAAGCCTCGACCTAAAGTTAAAGCACAAATACCGGCGAGAAGGTGCCTGAATTTGACTTTAAAACAATAGACGCAGTTGGGCACAGGTCTTCTTGAATTTATGAATATATTTACCTTAGGTCGAGGTAACCCTGTGTCAATGAGTCTTCTGTGCTTCTATTCAGCGGCCACGACGAATCTCGAAACTGGACTATTAAAACAGCTAGAGCAGCGTTGAGCGGCGTTAGACACAAAGGTAAACCTCGTCCCCAGGGTTTTCTCCCTCTTTTCTTTTCCTAACGAAAAGGCCTGGGGGGGGAAGAGGGATATAGTCGGAGGCTGGAAACTAGTTTTGATCGTAGGCCTGGTCCAATCGGTGTCGGAAACTAAGAGCGCTTTCCATTTGTCAGAACTTATCATGAATGGCTTGACAATTCCCATCGTAATGAGAGCATTTCACTTTTAATCAAAACTATCCAGCCTGACATCACTCAAATTCTTAATAGTCTAATGCACGAAAGGGATGATTTCTCAGCCAAATTTCTCGGTAAAAGCCCTTTTCATTTCAAAATGATTGGTCTAGCCGGCCAGTTCTGACAAATGGAAGTGACCTTAGTTTGCTAGTAACAATTGTAGTTTAGTAAAATCCAACTAGTGGTCTATTTGTCAATGCTGCGTTCTGATTGGTTGAGCTACTACTAGGTTATATGTTATAGCCCACTGGTAGCGAAAAGCGCCGGCTTTGAAAACCAAAACAATGGCGGCTGAATCGTGTTTTGCTAGCTAAAGTTGTTTTGTTTCCATATTTTTGACCAACTAGTTTGATTTTACTAAAACAATTATTCCTCTCGCCCTCATGCCCTCTGAGTCAATAGCCAATTCGGCCTCATGGGGTATTGACTCAGCCCATTCGCGAGACCAGGTCAAAATTCTATTGACAAAATGGCGCCGGACGTACCACCGGTTCCAGTTTGCAAACACTTAGAACTTTCTTAGTAAACTCTATCAAATAGTTTAGTCAATTAACAGCGAACGTGTTGGAAAGATATTCAAACTTTCAACATTGAAAAATAAGTGACAACCTTTAGCTTTGAGTTACTTTGCTTAGATTTTTAATTTTGGAAATTTCTCTCGTTTGATCGCGGCGGAATCCCGATCTAATCTAAACGTATCTTAATCCCATCTTGTTTGAAGAGGTCACTCCATGGAACAACACATGCAGCAAAAAGTGGCCAGACGAAGCCTTAACTTGTAACCCAATCTGATACATGCTACATGCGCACAAGACAGGGTTGGGCTTGTTGTGGTTCGTATATCAGTTACACAAGCTTAACCTAACCTTATTCGTTTGTTTGCAAATTTCCCAAAAAACAAGTGCCATTTTAAAAAGGATTTGTCATCCTCTGTGAGCTAGTGATATCCTCCCGAGTCACAGAAAACCTGAGAAAAGAAGACCGCGCCACCTAATTGTCTACGCGAACCGTTTTTACTGATCATATCAGTTACAGTAGTGCTTTTTTCCGTCTTATTTGAATTGCTAAGGAAAAAGGAAGAAAACAATGCCAATGACCAGTTCACCGCCTGGGGTGGATCCAGAAAAATTCATAAGGAGGATCGGCTGTTTTTCTCAAAAAGCATAAGTCTATTTCGTTGTGATTTTATATGAAGTGGTAACTATTAATAAGGGGTTAGTGTCCTCTTGGATGAGAGGGGTGGGTGCGTACAGATTCCTCACTAGAAACATCTATACGTAAGTGCACAGCTTACAAGATTTCTTTCAAAGCAGGTTGCGATGCTGTTAGTTTGACATTTTCAACCCCGCTTATTGATTTGAACAGATAAATTATCAATCAAAAGATCAATCACTCAACGATTTTTTTGTTAACAAGGCTAACATGTTATTTTCATTTTTCTTTCAGTACGAGTACTACTACACTTATACCTGTTCGAAATTTGGCCGAAACTGCAAAGGTTTGTGCATCCTAATATTACAGACCACATTTCCTTTACCCTTTCCCCCTTCAATGTTACATTCTCGTGAAAAAAAAAACAAAAAACAAAAAACAAGAAAACAAAACAAAACAAAGACTAACAGAAAAAACACAGACTTTTCTATGTGTAATGGTTGGCTTCTAGATGAGATTGGGTTCTCAGTGTAGTAAAATATACAGGCTTTCCAGATTCGCTTTGTAATATAGGACGTAGAGAGTAAATTTCAGTTTTGAAGAGAATCCCTTCATCTTAAACTGTTCGCGAAATATTTGTGACTAGCGATTTCGAAACCTTTTTAATTTAGTGAGAATTTTGCGTGATGCAACTTAAAATAGTAATACCCGTTCCAATAAATGTATGTAACGTGCTCTCTCTTTCACTCTCTTTCTACTCTGTTTTAATGAACCCCTACCCCCCCCCCCCCCCCCCCCCCCCCCCTTCATTTAACCACCACACCCACAAAACACCAACATAATATTAAAAAATAAAAACAATATAAAAAAATTTTTTTTTTTTTTTTTTTTTTTTTTTTTTTACCTAAAGAGATGTGTTTTTTATTTTGTGTGGTTGGGTGGGGGACATAAAAATTGTAATTTCATAATGGTGTTGCCAAATATTTTTGACTAGCGATTTCGAAAACTTTTTAAATTAAGTAGAAATTTTCGTTAATCAAATTAAAAAATTAATACCCCTTTCCATAAATGTATGTAACCGGCCCTCTCTTTCCCCCTCTTTCTACTCTTTTTTAATGAACCCCCACCCCCCCCCCCCCCCCCCCCATGAATATGATAGGCACTACATGCGTAAAAGCTATGAATAATTTATAATACATGCATGTGAATAGATGAGTTACTTTTTTATTTTACAGTTCCTTGTACCTACAGAGATGACTGTAGCTTTGGAAGCTGGGGTAGTTGGGAAGGAAATATCAAGGTTAATAATCCTGGATGTTATAAACAGACCAGAAGCAAACCGTACAACCACCCACTTCAAACTGTGATGAGGCGTCACGGCTGCGGGGGACTCAACACTAACTGCGCGGCTCCGCCGGTTCAAAGCAGAATGCAGTGTAAGTATAAGTGTCCCTTTTTGCTATAATAAGGTACACAAGTTCTTTGAAATCAAGGGGGGTGAAATGAAAAAAGGTAGTGTAAGTATTTGTCCCTTCGTTGCTGTAATAAGGTACACTTTCGACTTCGCCAAGAGACTACCCTACGAGCAGAGGTATCTCTCATGCATGACTTTTAGCGTTTACGAAGACGTTCGCGTCACTTGTCAGGATAAAACTAGAAGAATAAGAAGAATAAAACTAGAAGAGCTCTCGCAAAATTGTGCGCGGAGGGATTATGATCAAAAAGGTCGCATACAATCTAAAGCAATTTTGCTTTCGCGTTTTATTGGATCTGGTCCTTGTAAAAACCGTAACCCTGTCACTCCATTAAAAGGGAACTCTGGATTCTGGAATCCCCGAACGTTTTTCTTGTGGAATACGAAATCTGGGAAATTTTCCTTGTGGAATCCAAAATACTGGGCTTTGGAATCCGGAATACAAGTCAAGGCCAATCCGGAATCCCACTAAATATTAGAATCCGGGATCTAAGTTCCACTGACAAAGACCGGAATCCGGAAGTACCGTCAATCCGGAATCCACGGCGTGGAATCCAGAATCTAAGTTTGTCTTGGATCCCTTACATGGGGGTATGCCCTGGAACGTTATCATTTTCAAAAACTTTGAAACAATATTACTTTATATTTCATTAGGTGTTTGTAAAATAGCCAACTGTCAGCAGGGAACCTGGAAACAATGGTCAGGGGTCATAAAGGAGGGTACCTGTGGTACACAGACCAGAATAAGACCACAGATTCTGACATGGACTACAATTCAGAAAACAGGCTCTTGTTCGGGAGTGCAGACATCTTGTCCTGAACCTGAAAAGGAGAGTCGGAAGATGTGTAAGTATTTCTTACGTGATAGAACAATAGGACAGTTTCATCCATGCAACCATTTCACTTGTAGAGAAACTGCCAACTTGAATCTAATGTTTGCCGTAAACTTTTTGATTCTAAATCTCTCCAATGGCGTACAGCTGTCTATTTTTACACTGCTTCAATCCTGAGTAATAATGATATTAACAAAAATGAAAAATATTTGTTCCCTGTTAGTACTAAACCAATTGGAGTGGACTTGGTCTTTTTCAGGTAGTTGTTCCAAAGCAGAGTGTTCATTGGGAGATTGGAGCAATTGGGAAGGCAAAGTCGAACAGGGGCGTTGCGGCACACAAAAGCGAAGACGGGTATACACGAAGGAAACTGTTTACGAACAGCACGAAAAGCAGTGCCCCAGCCTTCCGCAGAATTGTCTTGCACCTGTTGAAGAAAGCCGTGCAATGTGTAAGGAAACATTAATTGGGCAGTAATGACAGTAATTCATATAAACTTTTGGACATTAAATCACGTGTATGTTGTAGTTGCTTTTTTATCTCAGGTATTTTTATTTTTCCTCTGTTTCAACTTCATTAGCATACATTGCCATACCCAAAAACAAAAGAAAAAAAAAATTACCTGAGATAAAAAATTAACTGCAACATGTACATTAAGCAGGGTTTCTGGATATAGTCGTTTCATTTACGAGATGCTTACCTGACTGTCATCCGCGTCCTATTGCGAGGGACATCTCCTGTCGAATGCCGCTGATTGCAATGTGGACATTATTGTAGAGACCAATTGAAGGGCTCCGTGTGAAGACGGCCCCTTCTCCTTTGCTCCATTTTGGAGCGGACGTTTTCACATTCCAATTATACCATCATTTAAAGAAGGGTGTCCTGATTAAAAACCAGTTTCAGGAATGTACTTCTGTTAGTTGACAACTAATTAAGATTACTTTATTTAAAAACTACGTAGAGCCGAACTAACTTTTGACCGTGATCTAACAAAGTAGGAGGTTAATACGGAAGTGGTAACTTCTCAGCTTCTAACGTAAAAAATCACTTGATGCGGGAGAAACTTGACACAGACGCACAGCAGTCGATTTAGAAATTGATCGAGTTGATGAATGTGACTCAAGCCTTCTGTCTTGCTATACATGTAGGTAGCTGTAAATATGCCACATGTTCGCTTGATGATTGGTCCCAGTGGGAACCTCAAGAACTGGAACATGGTAAATGTGGTCAGCAGCAGACCCGTAGGAAAACATATTCGCTGACTTGGGCTTATCAGTCGCATGTGGAACAGTGCCCCTCCCTGCCGCAGACATGTCCTGATGACATCGTTGAAAACAGAACGCAATGTAAGCGGATAATCAACCACTCTTTTCCTCTAATTATTAAACAAAACCCACTTAATTTTAGTGTATTTAGCAGGAAAAAAAAACTAATTGTGGACATCATTTCTACGGCATCTCCTACTAAAGACGTACGGAACCACTGTTTTACGTGGTCATCTGAGCCTCGCGAAGTCCAGCCGTATGCCGGGCATAAGCAGTACCTTCATTTTGCACTTATTTGTTGAGACCCCCCCAACCCCCCCCGGAATTGATCGTCCCCGACCAGGCCCCCCTTTCTACCGCCAAGAGCTTCCGACTAAGCTAGCCCCAACGTCTTTTCTTTTTTACAGAAACTCTTCGATATCAGGAGAGTTCTCTCTTGTCGATATCCATTACTTTTTTGTTAAACGGCTTCTAAATAGTAATGTAGAAATGAGCTTGAAGAACGTGGTAAACACTTCAGTTGATCTGAGCAAAGTTCTACAATAAATTGACAATAATCTGTAATTATTTGTTCGTTTAGGAGGTATATTTTTTTAAAAGGGTATACGAGAATTCTTAAATTATTAATAGCTGTTTTGTCACGGTTTGGACAGGTTGAGTTGGATAAGACAATATATGAATGATGCTTTATCAAGACCTTCGATGGAGAAAGCGACTGTCTTAGACTATCTAAATTACATCATTCATTTTTTATTTTTCAACAAGAAACGTGTTAATTGAAAAATTTAGAATCAGACTGAGTCGATGCTAATGACAATATTAATACTAATGCACATTTATTATATTTATTGGGCCAATTTTCGAGTTCTAAAAACCCTCACTTTCGAAACGAGGCTAAGTGCAAAATCTTCCTTGTGACAATGAGTTCATTTGTATGAGAATAAAAAATCGTTTTCATATCAATAGCTTCGCACTTATCCGAGAGGCTTGGGACAACTCGGAAATGGCCTATGGGTATTAAGTCTGGTTTTTAATACAATTTTTTTTTTTTTGCATAAAAGGCAAATGCGTTTATAGAGACTCCTGTGACGTAAGGGCATGGAGCGAATGGGATAAACCACTGACCGAAGAAGGCTGCCAAGTGCAGACACGAACCAGAAGCTACGTTTATCCCCTTAAACACTCTGTGCAGAAGAACTGCAGTGGCTTGCTAACATCTTGTATAACAGAACCAAAGGAAAGCAGGAACTATTGTAAGTACTTTTATAAAATAACTACGATAGTACGCGCGCTCTGATTGGTCGAGAGGCGTGTTTGTATGAGAGTATGTAAACATGGTTGTGAGGTCAAGATGTTTTGCTTTTCGCACGCAAATCACGCAAGCACGAATTTGAAAAAGGTTTCGAGTTGAAAAACTCGACAAGTTTACTTTATTTACCAATTTCCTCGTCGGTTGAAACTTCAAAAATCTTTAGAAACATGCTGTGTCAATTTTTTTTCGCTTGAGCTGAAAACCCGTATTTTGGAAAGCATCTTTTTTGCAAAACAAAGACTGATTACGCGTACAAGGTTAGTGTACAAGACTTCGCGACTGGTAAGAATTTCTCTTTTAATCATTGCTCTAAACAAGAGAGTTTTGCTTTTTTCTCGGGAAAGTTATTTTATGAAAGCAAAAGAAAACTTTTTTTCTTGTGTTTGCATATCCTGATATAAACGCTCGAGGGGTTGGGAGAATTCTCGACAGCTAGGCAAACCCTCGACTTCGTCTCGGGTTTGCATGACTGCCTCGAATTCTCCCAACCCCTCTCGTGTTTATATCAGGCTATGCAAACACGGAAAACGTTTTCTATTGCTTAAAAAGAACCTAGTAATTAAGAACCCGTGTACTTAAACGTTGGCACAAAAAGGGCATCTATACAGCAGTTCTGCATCAGCTGAAATCAAGTATACAAGATATGTGAACAAACTTCTTCAACGAAGACAAGGAAAAGCTTTGTCAACGTATCCAGTTAAACAATTTAATAAGTAATTGCTTCCCCTCTATTGATTCGCTTGAAAACTTTCCCTCGGGCCCCAGTTTTTAAAAAATTAGATAGCGCTCTCCACAAAATAAATCACTATCCAGTGGACAAGTATTAGGAAAACCAATCAGTTGAGTCACCCACTGAAAAGAGAGAGATTTATGCAGAGGATAGCGTTATCCACCTTCAAGGAAATTGAGGCTTTTCCCTATGGATCTCCTACCTGGCAGATTTATCAGTGAATGTCCACCAATTTAAAACGGAGCCCATCCCTGTCGTTAGCACAGCTTAATTTTTGCTCATAATTCTTAACCCCACTTTACTTTTTTTATTTCATTGTTGCTTCTGTAACTAAGAAAATGCAATTTTTTAATACAAGGTAAGTGCAAACACGTAGCGTGTACACTGGCTGAATGGTCCGATTGGAACAGTGCCGTCCTGACCGTAGGGCAGTGTGGGAAGGAGAAAAGAATCAGACATTATGTTGCTGAGGAAAAGTTCACTTTTGCCGAAAATTGCGACGGACTTACGACGTCATGTCCCGCCAGTCAAGAGGAATCAAGAACGATGTGTATGTTTAAGCTGTTTTTAAGTTGTCTCTTAATTCTGCCAGTTTGTTTTAAAATTTATTGGTTATAGAAATTCTATGAGAAGCCCATTATTCTTTAGCCTTCGGGCCGTTGTAGAGGATTTTATAGATAACCTGTGCGCCTAAAAATGGCCAAGAAAAATCTGGGCGAGACTTTTGTTTTTGTGAAAAAACGGAATGTCTTTATTCGCAGTACACTTTCTGGGGTCATGGAATACTGTTTATTTGAGAACAAATCTTAATTAATGAATAAAAACGACAAATTACTTTGAAGATAATTAAGGAATACGGGAAGGATATCATTTTGAGCTAAAACATTGAAGGCTAACTTCAAGTTATGTGACTGTTTTTGTTTTCTTTTCTGTGCGCAGGCAAATGCCCGTATGTCACGTGTGACATTAGTGACTGGAACCCATGGCAAGGAGCACTACCCGCTGATAGCTGTGCACAGCAAATAAGAACAAAAAACGTTACGGAGAAACAACACGAAAAGATTCAAGCTGCAAACTGCGACGGCTTGCAAACAAACTGTCCTTCCATTCCTCAGGAAACAAGACAGTGGTGTAAGCTTAACTTAATATTCACGAAGTTAATGCTGAAATCAGTGTTATTATAGAAGCAGTAAACTGTTATTACAGTTTTAATCGCTGGAACGTGTGATGAATGTATTCGTATCGATTTTCCACCGTCTTGAAACACGTTACAAGAAATTAAGAGAAGCATTTGCTGAAATACATCGGCTTGGGGTGTTTATTTTCTTAAAGAGAAGTGATTAAAGGAGCTGTGTTATGAAGTTCTTCAAAATCCGAACAATGGAAACCGCCACCATATTAAGTGAAACATAAAAATACCAGCTCAAAACAGTAAATGAAAGTATAAAATAACGCAGTAAATATAAAAGGAGGAACGGACGGACATGAAGCAGTGATTTTTTCATTTGCGAGTAATTTCTTTGCTGATGCTAAGTTCTATTGAGAATAAGGCTGACGCGTTTTTGGCAATATTAAAAAACTGAACTAGACAGTTGTGACACAGCCCCTTTAAGTTCGCGTAAAGGAGATACGGCTCTAGCGCTCTAAGATTTCTGGATTTCTGTGCTATCAAAAATGTAGAATTTTGCTGAAGCCGATTTTGCCTACAGTGTGTATGGATTTTAATAGTTTCAATATTTACCAAGTTTATTTCCAAGTTTTCTCGCAAACGGCGATGTATCTAAGACGAAGGGCTGGATGAAAAATTCATTCGGACCACTTAACTCGAAACGAATAAGTGTATCCATCAAGTAATGATTATTGATGTCACAGGAATTTTTAATTTTTAGGTAACTGTTCCTTTAGAGAAGACTGTTTGTTAAATGACTGGAGCGACTGGACTGGAAAAATTCCAAACGGAGGATGCGCAGTGCAGATTCGAACACGTGACTACAACAAATCCATTGAATACTTTGAACGAGAAACATGTGACGGACTGGACTCTTGCCCTGTTATAAGAGAGGAGACTCGAACTAAATGTAAGTAAAGGAGATAGTGGTGCCTGTTTGGTTCACATCCCATGCGGTCCCTAACCGTGCCCAGACCCTTAGCAGACAACACAACAGTGACGGTTAGATACATAGGTCTGTCTTTATCTGAAATAGAGAATAAGGGTTCCAGGAAACATTCCTCACCCCCTCCCCCTCAAACAATTCCCTAGAGTACCGTCCCAGGCCCAGTCGTGTTTTAAGTTTGGTTCTTAATTGAGGTACATTAACCTCGACCATGCGCAAATTTACTGAATAAAAGCTAATGTTACAGCGCTGTTTAGTTTTTGATATTTATAAAATGATCTGAGCCAAATTAACAAAGTTAAGGGTGTTATAAAAAAAGTTCCCAGCAAATGCCGCAAGAGTTAATATTTCGCGTTCCCATGATTAGTTATCGGAATAAAAGCGTGTTGTATCGAATTACAATTCAAAGTGGACAGACTGCAAATTATAGTAGTTGCTAAAAAATATATATCTACGTGTGGCAACTGTTCATCAGTAGGATGCCTAAAATGCGTGCAATTGCACAATCGGTTTCGGCTTCATTAAATCCTATACCAATTGGAGAACATTTTAGGAGGAGCCGCATGCAATTACTAACAATACAAACTTTTCAATCATATAAATAATTGATGATGATAATTTGTAATGCACAGGCAACTGTAACGAGGTCATCTGCTCCTGGGGAAACTGGACACGGACCAACTACAACCCTGAAACTAACTGTTATCAAGAAATAAGAGTCAAAAATGAGTCGAGTGGCTTTAAAGTAGTCGAGCAGTCAGAAAACTGCGATGGTATATCAATCCAGTGTAGTAACCCCGAGATTGAGAAAAGAGAGGATTGTAAGTGAACCATTTTGTTTTAAAAAGAAGTAAGAAATTATCCTAGCAATATGAGTTAAATTAAACTCAATGTATTTTTAGTTTTAAGCAAAAAGTGTTCTTAAAACAAAACAAAAAAATTTCATTGAAAAACCGATCGATATGGTCATGGCTACCATGGGTACCTAAAGTTGACCTGAATCGTAAAATAAATTCGAAAATAAGATATTGCGAATCAATAAAGTTTTGCAAATCATTTCTCAAGGCTTCTCAATTCACATCTGAAAATGGCATCAACGATTTATCAAAATTAAATTAATAACCATGCACTATGCATTCGCTTTTCGATTTTGAGCTGAGCCGTTAGGGTAAATTGGATTATTGTTTCAGATAGACAAATTTACGTTACCTCTTTCCTGACGAAGCATTTTTCTCGTCGTATCAGCAATCCTAACTATAGTGTTTTAATAATAATGAGGCCATCTTTGAAGCAGGAAACAAATACAACGCGAATTGTCATCACCTGGCGTAAAATCCAAGATTAAGATTGTTTTTCATGCTTCCTTCCTTGCGTCCATAAACAACCGGACGGCAAATAAGCATCATGATCAAAGAAGAGGTGTCACCTGTTAAGTTGTTTGAAAACTTTACTTAATTTGTACTACTGTCTATTAATTTTCTCTTGCCAGGTATAAGTGGTGGTGGCGGTCATGTTATACACACCAGTGAGGCTCCTCCAACAACTGAGCCTTTGACCACAACGGTGGCTCCGACAACGGGATGTAAGTCTACGCTAGTGTTTTTTTTTTTCCACTTGCCACTTGCTTTGGGACAACAACTTTTAAGCGACCTACTCTCCCGTTCATGCCAGAGTCGTAGCTCAATCTGTAGAGCACTTAAAAAGGTTGCAGACGAGATTTCATACTGTAAACGATTTTATAGACGGCCTCGCTCAAATAAACGCCTGCTTGTCAAGTTTGCTTTAGACGCCCCTCTCAAGTAGATACCCCCTGTCTAATAGACACCCCGTAATCGTTCAATTTATTCAGTGTCTTGTCTGATTGACAAGAGTTTGCGCATCGCATTTTGTTAAATGTCAAGCTCAAAGCAAGGATTCTGACATCGAAGTGGAACTTTTTAACGATTTGGATCTCTAAACGGCCTGGACCTATCAATGGATGGGCTGGGTAGACTGCAATTTATAACATACTATGCATATTCGTTTTGTGGAGTTTCATAAGCAGGTGAAGCATGATCGTCAGGGTGATCGTAGTCCTGAATAGCACTGTTGACAGTGACTGACGTTTCGACAACTTGTGCGGTAGACATCTTCAGAGTCATCTTCTGACTACCGCACCAGCCTACGTCACCTACTTATAAAATGATTTGTGTTCAAACCTTTCATAGTTTTGTGGAGATTTTTACACACATGACAAAAACGCCTCTGACTTTTGAACAAGTCCGGAGTATCTGTTTAACGCCCCTCTTGGGCTCTAAAAATTAAATCCTACACTCCGGGCGTCAATAACTGCAATCAGATACGGTACCTCTTTCTGGCAGATGTTTCGAGGAGCGACTAACTGAATTTCTCATTATGCATGAAACTTTTGATTTGATTTTGTTTAATTTAAAATCACTTTAGTTCAGCCAGCCACTTTTGTGTCACTTGGATGCTTTGCCGATACTCAGGATAAGACGAAGGATCCCCGCGCTTTGCCAATTTTATATGCCAACTTCAGAAGTTCTATTGACTGGTATGATCTGTCGAAGACAGTACAGGCATGTGCAGAGGAAGCCAAGGAGAAAAGGTGACTTCTGAAAAGAACGTTTACTTAGTTATTTCTAACCTGGGCTTGTTGGGTAGTTTCAACACAACATAGATGTATTATTTAAAGGATTTACTATTAGCTACGCTTAACATTGTTGTCGTTGTAAGGTAGAAACAACCGGGTTGGTCTGTAGTTTTTATGCCATGGTATATGTCCGGGACGATACATTCTACGCTAGCTGGGGGTGGTCACTGCAAAAGACTATTACGTCTCAATGGTTATTCCATGTCTTTCAAGGCCACATTGAGTGAAAGGATTGAAACAACAACAACAACAACTATATTTCCACTAAACCCGGACATCTAAAGAATTTACAAGAGTGAATATAATTATTATTATTAATAATAACAATGCATAAAGTAGCTGGACACCCCAAATAGCTATAAAGCTAAACTAGCTGGATCATCATTATTAATTCAAATAATTGAAAATGTGCAAAGTCAGGAAAGAGGCTTAACAAATACTTTTATAATACACTTAAATATTCAGTATAAAATTGGTACAAAAGTAAATATACAGTACAAAAAACCCCTGAAAACTCAAATATCTAAATATCAGTAAAGATTAATGGGGAGGGGAGGGGGAGGGGTTGAAGCTAGTGAAACGTGAAGTTAGTTCTTTTGTAAATAGGTTGGAGGTCCTTATTGGATGATGTTTCGTTTGTTACAAAATAAACGGACACAATACACCAAAAATTCAAGAAACAAACTGTTAGAATCTGCATTATGAATAAAGCAACAAGTGGCAGAAAAAGCAAGAAGCAGAACCCGCAGTGAACAAAAAACATGTCGACCATCTTTACTGAGCGCTGACCGACTGAGAGGTCTCTAACCATTTTTGACTACTATTGCCGACAAAGACTCGCAGCACTTTCTCTACAGTTTTGGAGCCTTCGATTGACCTGAAAGAACTTAATAGAAGACAAAAACCATTTCTAATCATATATTAGTGCAATCTTCCCATTAACGAACAACAATCTACCTTTGATCAGATATGATTATCCTCATTTTCACGCTATGAGCTCAAACGATACGAATACTCTTTCTCTTTAATGATGTAGATCCTTTTTCTGCAATAAAATTGGCCACTTTATCTTTCTGGCCTCCAAAATACGGGCAAGTAGAATCGTAAACGTAGCTGCTATATAACTGGGAAAGTTTTCCTGAATAATAATTTTTTTAACAATGATTATTTCTTAATATTATTACTGAGTTATTATCTTCCCGTTTACTTTAATGTAACCAATGTTATAATCATATGGAAATGCTAATAAATTGAATTGGGAATCTGACTGAATTGCCGAAGAGGAACGTATAGAGCAATCAGGAGGATTCATCCAAAAAACCTGCTATTCCAATTCTTGAATGATAAGTAGACTGGGTATATTTTTAATATTCTGCCTTATTCTGCAGCATGCTTGAAATAAAACGCTAATTTAGCTAACCAATGTGCGATAAATTTCCTATTTCGAAATTCAGCAACAAAGAAACAACTTACAACAACAGCCAAACATAACCAAAATTATCGAGGGGAAAGACAGAGAGTGGTGAGCAGAAGTTTACCTTGAGGGCTTATATTTGGGCATTCCGCAATCTTAATATTTGCGGCCTGAAAATAGCATATACACTGATATATTCTGACATCATTCAAGTTTGTTTTAATTACTTTTTTACATATTAATAGGCTAGAATATTTTTCGGTGCAGTTTTACGGTGAATGTTGGAGTGGAGCCAATGCAAAGCAAACGTTTGCGAAGTATGGCGAAAGTGACAAATGTTACCAAGGAGTTGGAATGGAGCAAACCAATGCCGTCTACCGCTTAGAGAACATGCCCGGTAAATTTTAAGTTTTGTCTGTGATGCCTTAGGGCCCGTTTGAAGAAAGTTTATGTGTAGAAGAGTCACTCGATCGCCTAAACGAGCTACCCTGGGGCTAGCTAACTTTTCACATACATTTCCTTACAAAACTTGGCGAACGGTTTACATGACAAACAAAATGCTTGCCAGAGAAGTGATCCGCATACCCGAGTCACCCTTTTTCGATGGTAGGGCAGACATTTCGCTTTAGGAACACTTTGGCTCTCCCAGCTGTTAAACTCGGACAGGCGAGACTATCAAAGCATGCGCGCGCTCTGTTTTAGAGAATCAGATCATGCACGAGAGCTGTTGGGTCGGTAGGGGCGAACTTTTTTCTCATATAAACGGCGCTCGCTAAAGTTTACTCGGCTGGGAGGGTGACCCTCTTTCCCTGGACGAATTCTTTTTCATATAGACGAGGCCTAAACCTTTTTCGTTTTTTACGTTCTCGTTGCCGTCGCAGTCATCGCTGCTAAAGCTTCCCTAATATTTATCGATGGGTGAAAACGGTTCCGAGTAAGTTTTTATTGTAACCGCCTACAAATACGGTAACATTTTTGACTCCAATAAAAACTCCTCGCCAGCAAACTTATAGATTTTAGTCTTAAACGCTTTGCATGTCACGTGCACTTTTTACTGCCACTTTTATATGTGACAATAGCTGAATAAAACCATCAGATCGTGCTGCTTGTTATATAATTTTTATTTTTTTTAGCTTGTTCTTCGGAACTGCAATTTAGTGCATCTGTCAGCACTGGAGAAGTCAACGGCCATACTTGGTGTGCCGGTGACGCCGCTGAATATCAGTGGATAGTTGTAGACTTGGGCGGTGAACGCAAGATTACAGGTAAGCGATGGATTTCTGTTTTCCACTATACAACGCTGTTTCCAAAGTGACGTCTTCTGACCGTAAGGGTCGTGTCGGGATTCAAATTGGTCGTCCTCTTATAGACCTGCTATTTTGGATCTTAATTTTAAAGTAATGAAGTCACGAATTTCCTCTCTGTCAGCGGCCAAGTGGTAAGAGTGCCCGACTGGTATCTGAGAAGCATGACGGTTTCAAGTCCCATTTTTCTTACACCCGCACCAGAAGATATTTTCCTAATCGGAACGTAAAAGCGTGAAACAAAAGTAAGGTTGATGAGTTTCTCGGAAGGACACTACTCATCATCATCATCATCATCATCATCATCATCTCTTTAATATTTGGTCCTATTGTTGCTGTTGTTGTTGTCGTTATCTGCAGTGGAAAGAACTCAACAGTACGTGTCAAAACAGTCACCAATCATTCTTGACCCCCGCGAGCTTTGTGTGCCTCCGTTGACTTTTTATCCCAGATTAAGGTACGATATTCAACCAATTTTTAAACATGCATATCTTACTTGTACACAGGTGTCGGAACACAGGGTGGTAATGTAGACAGTTGGGTAACCCTGTACAAACTGGAGTGGAGCGAGGAAGGGGGATCATGGAAAACCTATCATGAGGGTGATCAAGAGGTATTGTAACTGTAGCGAGCTATGGCCCTGAACGTAGTAACGTATAACTATAGCATTACCCACGTGCGCATGTCAAGTCCAAAGGAATTAATGTAATGTACATAATAATATAGTTTCCTAATAGCCTTGATTTAGCAACTTGTTATTTAAATTTCTCTCCCTTACGAAATTTTACGTAAAATGCAGAAATTAGAACGCATTCTGGTTTTACAATTAATAATTCTTCAATTCGGCTTTTCCGGTATGCCGATGAAAAACTTTGCAGATTGGGTTATTCGCCAAGGCCGAATTATTTTTCATTCATTCAAAATATTTCTAAGTATTTAACACCCTTACCTACTTGTAACCTTCTTCTCGGCATTTTGAGAATATAAACCTGGACATGTTTTTCTTTTGCAGATATTACAAAAAAAAAAAGCAGTTTAATGTCCATCGAGAATTATTTCTTCGTGGCATAGCCTTAAACGCTTTTGACGTTTTCTTGTGTTCTGTCGGCTCATGCCAAAACATTTATGTTGCTGAGTCGCTGTCTGATTGCGTGACTTCAATGGCAGATTATTTGCAATATACTGTGACTGACGTCATATAATCTAGCATCTTCCAAATTTGGTTAGCGTCAGCTCAGGCACGGACCATTAGAAACGTTATGGGGGGCGGGGGGGAGGGAAATTTTCGTGCCGCAAGAATTTTTTGTCGTTATCAAATTCCTTGTATGAATTTTTTTTAGGCCATATTATGAATATTTTTTAGGATTAATTGGCGTGCATAAATTTTTTTTCATTTAATTTCCTCTTGCGCGAATAATTTTTGTACTTCGCCTGCCCCCCCCTTCATAAGTTTTCTAATGGTCCGTCCCTAATTATAAAGAATTGGGTGTGGAGATTAACGGAGAAATATTGCTTTTAAATGACCACAAGATCCAAAAGCCGCTCAAGAAGTCATGCTTTCCGGGTTAATCGTGATTACTTAGCCCAAAAATAAGTGTATTTAAATGTCAAAGCTAGGGCAGAAATCTATTAGTCATGATTGAATGTAAATGTTACAAATACATACTTCTGTGCGTCTGATTCATTGCTTGAAATGATAGATCTTCCCAGGCAATTCAGACCGATTCACTTTAGAGACGCAGTGGTTGATAAAGCCAATTACTGCTGGATTCCTCCGCTTCAAACCACTGTCCTGGACTTCAACACATGTCTGCATGAAGATTAAGGTTTACGGGTGCACTGTATAAGGTACGCGTAAAATTACGAAAGCTTAGTTAAATGAAGATTTGCGTTTCATATTTTTGTCCTTTGTTCAAATTCTCAGTAACATATAGTCAAAAACATCAGATACACAAGTTTATTGACTGATTATAGTACACCACAGACTGAATAAAGCTTAGAATGAGATCGGAGTCGCAAGAAAATCATGCGTAAATCGAGAAATTCATACATACAAAAAAAAAGGGAGCTCAACGGAATCCGAGTTGGTAGAGTCAGAACGATTCGGATTCCGCTTAAGTATTCCTAAGGTGCTTTCGATCTAGTGAAACCTAGATTGTCGGAGTCGGAAGAAGCGGAAAAATTAAGCAATGACTCTTTACTCTAGTGGTTTAGTTCTTCCGTTTCTGCTTGCGTCTAGTTTCCACTAGGTTGTTTGCGACGGAGTCAAAAGCGCAACCTGGACACATTTTTAACCAAATCGCAACGCTCGTCGCTGCTGATTACGACTGTCTGTCGCATTAGTAAAGACCATTCCTTTATTGTAAATGAAGCAATGTAGTTTCACTAAGTTCTTGGTAAGGAGCTTAAAATAAAGAGATTTTTAAATTCTAATTAGGTATTCTAGTATCTATGTCAACCATTTTTGTATTTGCTGCGTGTTTAGAGAAAATCACGAGGCCATTATTATAATTTTTTTATTGACCCGAATTCTACCTCAAGTTCAGGGGCGTAGCTATGTTTACACCAGTACGCACTTGCGTACCTGAAAAAACTGTCGAGTTAAATGAAGAGCAAAGCAAAGAAGGTAAACGAAGGTTACTTGAAAAACGGTGAACTGATTGCTTACGTAACTCCACCTAAACGTCTGTCAGATATAGTTTTACATGTATATAACTTTTTTTAACAAAATGCTGTGTTTTTCTCCGATTTTTCCTCACGAAAGAGAGGTAATTTCTGCCTGAAGAACTTAGTCCTAATATAAAAAATTTCATCAACCTTAAGTAAAACGCGTGAAAACTCTCTGAAGTTCGCTTGTCTGATGAGTCACCACTGTTGGAAGGTCTCCCTTGATAATAATTTAAGGTTAAAAACGTAAGAAGTTCTTGTTCTTTTGGGCAATAAGCAATTATTCAAGATCAGAAACGGCAAATACTTTGAGTCGTCATATTTGAGGTCATGCGAAACTAAAAATTGAAAAAAAAAGACTGAACACACATTTAAAATACATCGTGGTTGTGTTTTAATGAAATCTTTTAAAGAAGAAGATTAACATTTTTGGTATTTGAAACTTTCTTCCTCTTATCATTTGAACAATAATTTACTATAATACTGAACGCCTTGGTCAAACATTCAGTGTTGCATTTGTGAAAAAGTACACGTTCAAAGTCTTCTCAGAATATTTCAGCTCAAGCCTTTTTCCTTTGAATTCTCAAAAAGGTAAGCAGCTTTAAATAAGTTGCATGCTAATGTTTTCTTGAATCTTTCTTATATAGATGAAACCTTGGATGGAAGCTTACCAGAGGAGGCATTTTTATAATACTACAAGTACCATCAGCCGTTTCGATCAGTTCTAATAATAGCTTGTAATGTTTAGGGGCATATTTCTAGTTAGATATTCACAGTGAAAATAAAAACAAAGGGACCACTCTGATCTTATTTGACGCACTCATGCTCTTCCTTTCCATAATATACTAGCTAGTGTCTAATCTTCTGTGTTATTCTACTGACGCAAGGCTATTATACAACTATCCCCAAAGAGGAAGTGAAATAACCCGGTGAATATGTTGTGTTTACATTTCATCCTAGAATAGCGCGAGATTATTTAGCCGATCATATAGCTTTTAAGATCACAATGCGCTGGATTGTGCCAGAATTTGCTTCAGTCTAGTTGATGGAGGAGAGTTTGGTCCAGGTGGAGGATATACTATGAAAAATGTTCCACCCATGGGATTGGACCACTTGCAAAAACCTCTCTGACGTACCTAGAGTCTTGGTTGTTAAAGGAAACTTTTTGTAAAATATCCTTATATACACCACCAAATATACTCAAAATTTAACTTCAGTGCGATTTAGCACTATATAGGCTACTGTCAGTCTCAGATTGATCTTTAAGAGAAAGGAAAAAACAAATTTTCACGTGCAAACTTTCTTTTCAAAGTTACAATTAATTTTCAAAAGTGAACAAAAAAAACTCACATCTCACGAGGGCCATTAATAGTCTTTACAGTAGTCTAAAGCTATGTTTACACTATACCGCCGAAAGCTTTCTGGCCAGTATGAACAGCAATGACCTGGGACTGGAACAAGTTGTTCACACACATCAAACATCGTGCCTTACCGGTTGGCCGAGAGGGTTTGGTGAACCAAATCCCAGTCCTCACTCCCAAATTATTTCCGTTTCATTGGACTCAGGTCCTCACTCCAACTTATTCACTTCCGCTACGGTCCAAATGCCTGTTCACACTGCATGACGCTCCACTTTCGAAATTGGCGCAGCGCAGCTCGGCTCCGTTGCAGAAGTCACCGCGCTTATGTGTGAATAGAAGTCCTATCCGGTAGAGCAATTTTCTTATGACCTCGAAATGAAAACGCGCGAACAAAACAGAAACAACAAACGAACTGAAATAAAGCGATTTGATTGGTTTATCGAATGGATAAAAACGCCCGCGGCTTTTGGTTGGTCAAGCGAACGCTCGGGTGAAAAAACTTTACGTCCAAGAACACTCCAGAAATCAACCGATACTTCGCTTTGACGTCATACTGCAACACGATTGGTCAATCGAGCAATGCCTTGTCCATGTTAGGGTTTTCTTTGGCGGGAAAACGAAGACTCCATGTTTTGATCTTTTTATCCATTGGCTGAAAAAACAAATAACGAACACTTACAGCAACCATTTTTCAAGGTCATACGAAAATCGCTCTATCAGGGTTTTTCGTGCAGGCGTAAGAGCTATCTGGTATTATGTGAAAATCACCTAGTAAGTTTTAGGGGTGACGAATGGTCTTTGCGAGCATTCGCGAGCATGCCGGGCACTGCGATTTTTTTGCGAGCACGAGCAGAGATAAAAAATTTGCCCATTTTGCGAGCAGCGAGCAGTTTAGAGAGTACAACTCGCGAGCAGCGAGCACTTCTTAGAATTCATATATTTTCCGCTTGCAGCAATCCATATGGAATTCCTTTTTTTTTTTAATAAAAAAAAATATATTTTGAAATGGGGTTTTAATTTAGAGCCCACCAAGTTCTTTGAAGCTAGTTTGAGTGACACCTTATCGAGATCTAACCAATTACAGTTGCGTTTGATACCAAATGACGTCACATTTTCACTTGACTTCATCGCGCACGTGTTCGTATGGATCAGAAAGCAAAGGTCACAAGAAGAACAACCATATATAACCATGCATAAATAGCTAGATTAGCTAATTTATTATTTATCGTTGTCATTTATCGCGTGCATTTTCACTGAACTTGATAGCCATATATAGGAGTTAAGCACCATACAGAATTACATTTACTTTAACCCAAAGAAGGACTTCCAAAATTTCGAGCAATACTGACAAGAAAGCGAGCTTGCGAGCAACTGCAAAAATTTGGGGAGCACGAGCAAGCGAGCACTCGTTTAAATTTTGCGAGCAAATCGAGCAAAGGTAAAATTTTGCGAGCAGTTAAAAATTTTAATGGACCATTCATCACCCCTAGTTTTGTATCCTCACATTCCAAATCCGTACAAATGAAAAAACGAAAAAACGTAATACATTCACAATCGATGAGTTTACGTTGATCTTCCTCCCCATATCTGAAGACCAAATGAGACATCAGTCGCCGTCACTTAAATGACAATCAATAAAGAGTTTATACCACGCAACTTGCTTAATACTTAAGTTCAATGAACCCAAGGCAATGTGGACTTTTCCAAGTAACACTTTTCGACCAAAAATACCTTGTTTGCACCATACGCTTACCTTAAATAAATGAAAGAAAGAAAACGATACAATGACTGATAGTTCAGAACAGCTAATTATAATCTACACCATTAGAGGTTGTCTATGATGAAGACTAGCAGTAAACAGGGTCGGTCCGATTGTTTTTCGACATTTTGTAATAACGACACATTTGGTAACAACTTAACAACTTAACAACTTACGCATTTTGTAATTCGAATTGCGGCAGTTTTGGTTGCTAAAAATTGCGTAGACCGACGCGATGATCACAAATGCTGCAACCCTGATTACAAAATGCTCAGCTTCCTTTCATTATCAAATGCGTAATTTGTTAACAAATGCCACAACCTGTGTTACAAAATGCATCGTTAATACAAACTGGCGCAGAGCAGCGATAAAAGTGGCCAAACGACCCCTATTTTTTTAAACTAATTACACAAGCCACGAAGAATAACATCTTTATAAGATGATGATCGTTTTTATTTTGTTTGTGTTATTGTTGTTATTTTTTTATTTAAATCACCGAAACCTACCAGTAATTCCTGGTTGTGAATTTCACGGAGAGGATATTTGATTTTGCAATTGTAGACTGGAGCGGCACTCCGACGAGTGATTGACGTCTTTCGCTTCAGAAGCCTGCTGCCTTGATCTTTTATCAAATAGGTCTTGACGTATGTATCTACCCGGAAAAATTAGATTTTTTCATAATGTGATATAATGGTAAGGTGTCGCTATTGAACGCATAAAAAAATAGGTACAATTGGAGAAAAGAAAAAGAAAAAAAATTACGTAAATAGGGGGAAGACCGTCACTAATCCTCTACCCCCGTAGGCGATAGGAACAATCCTACTCTGCACCCTCGCCCCCTTCCGCTCACCTCTTAGTATGTGTAATCAGATGGTGACGAGTGAAATTAAGGCATAATTTCACGCGCGTTTTGTCCAAATCCTAATAATTTCGTGAGCCTTAAGGTGTTTCGATACAGTTTTTCAAAGGCCATACCGATATTTTTCAATCGCCTTAAAAGTAATTTTTCCTTGTCCGATCGCTATAAAATTTTCACCAGTAATTGGCTATGGATTGAAATTTGTGAAAATGTAGTTTTAAGTAAAATCGATATTACTATGACAACAATAAACAAAAAACTTTGAAATTGATAAAAGCCGAATTTTGTGTGATCTAGACCTGCTACTGAAAATCCAACACTAGGAACTTAAAGTTTGGTGTTTAGCAAACAATCTCCGTAAGAAGTAAAAAATTCTGTATGTTTGAATTCGAATAAAACGAAAATATATTTCAAACCTTAAATTTTCAATAGCCGTGATAGGTTATGCAATAAAAACGTTATAAATGACTCAAATTATTCTTAAGTAGCGTAAGAATGATGCTTAATATCATGTTTTGATGCTAGGAAATTTTGGTGTACTTTCGTTCATGCGATATTGAAATCTAACCTGTTTTCTCACCATCTGTATAAGTGCAACTTCATTCAGAATTTGGACTTTTAGCGCTTTCTTGTATATCTCCGAAACGACTCGAACGAATTTTTTCAAAATCTCTTCACATAATCTTCATAATGTATATAAAAATGTCCGAAACTTTCATTAAGATTGATTCACTGTAACACCTTGAAATTTCAAGACAAACCTATCCGACGAACCGGTCAAAAATCTGCGCTCCAACATTCACTGTTTTGACGTTATGGTAATTTTTCCAAATTAATGCGGACAATACATATATCCATGACTAGTACATTTCAGTGTGAGTATTGCCAATATTTTACATTCAAAAGATGCGATAAATTCAAACTAAGATGTACTAGTCATGGAGGTATGTATAGTGCGCATTATTCTGGAAAAATTAGCATAACGTCAAAACAGTGAATGTTGTAACGCAGATTTTTGACCGGTTGGTAGGACAGGTTTGTCTTGAAATTTCAAGGTGTTGTAGTGAATCAATCTTAATGAGACTTTCGGACATCTTTATATACATTATGAAGATTATGTGAATAGGTTTGAAAAAAATTCGTTCTGAAAAACTGTATCGAAACACCTTAAAGCGAGGGTTTATGAAATGTTTATCGTATCGATCGAGAACTCTACGCACTGAAAAGTTAAGAGCTTAAAGTCTGGATAATTTTTCGACAACCTGATAGAATCCTTTTTGACGAGCTATTTCGTGTGTTCAGGTTTTGTATAGCGTCTTTTAATGTCCTGACATCTTAATTCATAACACTTTAAAAACTCGACGCCATCTTGACACTGCGGACATACTGAACGCTGCCATGGCAATTTTATAATTTTACATGTGAAATTATTAGGCCTTTGTACATTATGCTTCTGTTTCCCCAGTCAGAATGTTCCACCTTATTTCTCCATTTTTCCCTAAAAAATGCTCGGTAGTCCCCCAAAAAATCACTAAACTGCTTGATAATGCTAGTCATAGAGAGACCTTTTTTATTAATTCTAAACATTTAAATTTTTTCTCGGAGGCTGTCATTCACCGAGGCCGAAGGCCGAGATGGATAACACCCTCCTCGATCTGCTTAATTCTTCATATCCTACTCAGACTCATTCATCAATTGCTAAGTGAAAAAGGGATAACGTCCCAAAAACATTCTCGTAATGCAACTCGACAAAAAACCGACGCAGGCTCAAGCTCAGCATCCAAATGGCCCTTTAAACTGTGGCACTTTCTGACTGATTAAAAAGCAGACCCATTACGCTCACTTTTTTCTTTTTCGTGCTGTGAAAAGTGGGTGGGTTGTCAAATTGCACTAAGAAGGGTCGGCGCTGTATCGAAGTGCAAGAAGGGACACTTTTTGGGGACAAATATTGACACAGTTTCTTACGTATATTCATAATAGCCAATAAAAAAGGGATAACGTCCCTTGAAAATATTCACGTAATGCAATTCGACAAAAAGCCGACGCAGGCTCAAGATCAGCCTTCAAATGGCCCTTCAAACTGTGGCCCGTTAAACTGATTAAAAAACCTATGGTTTCACCCTATGTTATATTATTTGTACCTGGCAATTGGTCTCCTGGAACCAAAAGTGCAACTGCTCGAATGATTTCCACTTCAAAAGTATCGTGTAATGCTGACAATCCAATTCTTATGTAGCCAAGTTCATTCCCTAGAACAGAACTGAGGAGTTGAGTAACACGGGCAAATTGGCAACGACGACGCAACATTGTTGTGACATTTGCTTCGGATTGTAACAACATTGTGCCAACATTGTTGGCCTAAAGATCGTCGTTGTAATCTCGTATAACATCCTTCGACTTTTAAAACAAGCGAAAATAGGTACTAGGTAGAAGTGTCTCGTCTTTTTGTCCGTTCTATTTCAATAACAATTAACAGTTTTATAACGTGCAAATGTTTGAAGGGCCCGCCGTATTTTTCTGGCAAAACACGAGTCTGACTTTTTGGCTCTGAGAGTTGAATGAGTCCCCGGGCAGTGGTAGCCTTCCACGCAGACGTTATTTTGGCTCGTCACGCCATCCTCGCCAACAAACGTCCGCTGAAACGAGCGGTAAAAAACATAGACCAATCACATCACACTTCCAGATCTGGGAAGTGCGCTTTCGCGGTTCGTGGGGAAGGAACGCGTGACGAAGCCCAAAGGACGTCTGCGTGGGAGGCTAGGGCAGTGGTGGGTACTATACTGAGGTTTTTGCTTTTGTGCAGGGGTGCCGTTAAGGTTATGAAATTACCTTGATCTTGCTCAGGAGTCAAAGAAAAAGTAAATATCTACTTTGTATTGTTTTGGAGCTTTTGTTATTTCCCTACGAAAACTTGGACCCTGTTTAGCAAAGCTCGCATAAGATTTTATACCCTGTTCCAAATAGAGAGGGTAAAAACGTTCTCAGCCGAAAAAACAGGGATAAATCACTGCTGCATTTTGCCAGTACCTTGGCAGCTTCCTCGTCTTATTTGACCGGGCCCAATAGCACCTTTCACAGGGTCTTCACCATAAAGACATAATTTGTCCTGCGGTTTTAAGCTCAAACGTGGCCGTAACTGTTTAGAGTACCTAGGAGAAATTTAGGGTTAAATGGAACAAAGATGGCTATAAAACAGATAAAAAAAAAAAATCAGCAATTAAGTCTATTACAAGTTACAGCACACAGGTGTTAAATACAGTTGAAAAGTTTCCTAGTTAGACTTAAATGACACAAAGTTGGTTATGAACTAAAATAAACACACATGTTGATTACAAGAGACAGCAGACAGGTCAATTATAGTTGAAAAGTTTAGTTTTCAAAAAAGGGATAATTTTCCACCATCATTGACTATTAAGATATTACATTTGACCTAGGACACCACGAAAACTCGCTTGCTACACCAGCTACTATAATTTGAGGTTAAAAAAAAATGGGAACCCCTTGTCAAAACCTGAAAGGAAAAAAACCCTGCAGGAATGGAAGTTAAAATGGTAGAGTCGTCGTGGTATCTGCACATCGCGATGTCAAGAACAGTGATAGTACAGTAGGGTTAGCATGAAGCCGTTTAAAATGGACAATTTTGCAACAGTAACTATATGGCCTGCGTGCGTTCGAAAGGAAAGGAGAAGGGAATTTGGGTGCAAGACACTCGCTAGAAGCTAAACGTAAAACGTCAGAATTTATTACAATGCGCAAAAAAGAAAAAGAAAAGAAAGAACAAATTCGGACCTTCACGACAATATTCGCGATGGTTGACCCGTCCAGTTCCTAACGCCGCCCTACCGGGCTTAACTTGAGGGGCGTTACTAAAAAAAAACGAGTTTCGCGAGGGTTTTTGCGCGATTCGTATTTCTTGTAATACGGTGATTTATTCCCACGGACGTTTATACAATGTAGATTGATACAAACACTTATTTTGGTTCAAATTTCGGTATTTATCGATCGCATTCGCGTCGTGTTGCGTTACCTGCACAGTTATTTAAAACCGTTAAGTCAAATATTAACAATAGAAATAAACTGCAATGTAATCTGAGTTCAAATTAATAGAAATGCCACGCTTTACTCTCTGTACTTCACTTTCCATTGGAAACTACTAGTTTACTAGGGGTTTAAATGGGCAGGCACTCTACGATCAAAATATTTCTCATATAAACACTGTTAATTCAAAGGCTCCTCAACTGACGTGCACATGCGCAACAAGCTTGATTAGCCTGCACAGCATACCCTATGTGCAGGAGATTACGTGGCGTGAAACCGCGCTTCCTCCTTCCCAGAGGCCACCTCTCTAATCTGCGCCCTACTTTTTTTTATTTACTCACTTTCTCAAAGCACGAATTGCCCCTTTCTGCTCCTCTTGAGTCCCAACAGACGGCTTAGTAGTAACAGGTTCGTTCTGCTCAGGATTGAACTGAGATAAACCAGTGGGAGAACTTGAGCGGTGTATGGCAATACGAGGAATCATCATCTTCGGTTGACTCTGGATACTCGCAATGCTTGATCTAAAAACCAAACACATCCGGCGAAAAGTGAGTAGATTAGCCATGCATATTTAACTTCCAGATGTACAAGAAGCTATTAAACACGGGGAGCCCAGTATGTTTTTTGCCAGGTAATAAGTCTCTTCAGTATATACCAAAACAGTGAATACTGTTTTTAGCGCGCTCTGATTGGCTACTCAAACTCCGATCAAGATATGCAGTGCTGTTCACTGATTCATCTCTAGACTCCTAGAGACGCCAAATGCGCGTAAGTTATGAGCAAAATGGCTTAACGGTTTGCAGCCGTAACAAATGGGTCATCCCCTGTGTGACATGATTTATTCGTTTTCTTTGTTTCATGGACTATTGTCAGGTTTAGGTTCATTGTTTAGGATGTTTTGTTTACTTTGTTCACGTCAGCTGTGAGTAATAAATTACTTTACACCGGCGTAAGCCTAATTAACAAACGAAGAAATTTCACAAATAAAGGAAGAAACTGTCCCCGAAAAACACGAAGAAGGCGACGAAATCCGGTTAGGCAGTTTTACAGGTTTAGAGAGCTTTGTCTGTTCATCCAGTGAATTTATCGATGAAGCCGGTGAGAACGTTTCTTATTTACTGATGCATATCAAGTCTAGCGTTACGTTATTTAGCTGACAAGTCCATAAATAATTAAATGAAATGGTTTTTTTCACAGAATGGTTTCAAACATGGAAAGAATTTACAACTTTTCTCATAGAAATGTCGCGGCAACAGCGAAACTAATTCCTTCAAAAGGTCACTTATCGGCAAGAAACTGACATGATGGCCATTATATTCGATCACATGCGTGCCAAAATTGTTATCGTTGGCAGCAATCAATGAGTTAAAAATCATCTTTTTTGGTTCAATTATATCACTATTTTAGTATATACTAAAACAATCATCCACCTGGTGCAGTGACGGTGGCTAGTGGCCAGACCCACTACTTCGGTGAATAATTGTTATATTTGGCGGTGACCTACTACGGGTTTGGATAAAATTAGGACATTTCTTGGAAGTTTCTCGATGTTGCGGCTCGGTGCGTTTACCAAGCAAATGACGTTATGCAAAAGATTGAAAAGACAAAGAACAATTTCCAGACCAACAATGGTTTCCAGAACACCTTCCCCCAAAAAATCCCCTATCGAATTTCGACACAACACCCGGACCCAGTAAATTGTGCATCCTCTAAGGGGTGTCTTACGTGCGTTCCAATGAATTCAGTGGAGATCAGCTGAAATAGTGAGATTTGAATTGAAATACCTTGAAACTTTTTGACGGTTAATGTTAATCTGCATTTTTCACGGTTGATGGTAAAAAAGTACCTTTTCGACCGCAGACGGTTAAAATTAAAGGCCGTTCGACGTTTGACGTTCAGACCCTCGTAGAAGGGTAGCTCGGTGAACTAGATAATTGCGAGCGGCCGCCGAGTGCAAAAATGTACAGGCCATTAGTCGAAGGCAACTTTTAGGGCGCTTTCCATGGCCGGACCAGTCAGTTGGCAAATGAAATCGGCTTTTTCAAAGAGTTTTTGCTGAAAAATCATTTCCCTCACGCATACTGTTTAGGATTTGACTGGAGAGTTTTGATTGACAGGAAAATTATATTATCAGTGCGACAGGAATGCTCTGGCCGGTCAGTTCTGACAAATGGAAAGCGCCCTTGGAGTTTATCTCTGGACCAAACCTTACACTATATTTTAGACATTTAGAAGAATAACGATGTATAGTACTTACTTCTTAGAAGCAACCACTAATTCTTGATTTTCCGCGTCAATATCAAAATCAACATCGATACCAACATCTTCGAGTCCGGGATTAAACTGAGAAACATCATCATCAGCATGAGATTGCTCTAAGGAGAGTTCAAAAACTCATTAATCATTCATAAAAAAAAGAAATTAATGTTTAATGAGTATCTTTATCTCTAATAAAGACACGGATAACTTCACGTCCAGCTTTTTGCAACAAAATAACCCCAAATCTAAATATTAGTGCAAGAATGAGTTGATCTATATCTGAGATTTTGAATCCGTTCAAAAAACTCACAGTCGTGTTTATTGTCAGGTTTGAAAACTCTCGGCTTCTCGTGAGTTTTTACACTCGGTCTCCTGTTCTTTTTTTAAACAGTACGTAAAGTATGGACAAACAGTTCAAAACCACGCTTCAAAGAATTTGATAACATCAAGAAGATCTAAAAAAACACACGCAAACCTTCCTCTTTAACAAAGTTCTCCTTTTCAGTAACACCATGCTGCGAGCTTTCCTCCAAACTAGATTCTTGTTCAGCCTCATAACAAGGTTTCGTTCCGGGATAACTGAATTGTAACCTGGTATGAAATGGCATATCATGCTTGATCTCAGTTTCACAAAAATGCCTCATTTTAAGTTAGTCTGAGAATCTGATACTTGAAGAGGCTGTTACTTGGCTTGGTGGCAGTAACACATTCCTATTCAATTCGTGCATGGCTTGAGAAGGTCATAGGCACCAACAACCTTTTCTATTTCGTCACATTAGTAATACGAAAAGTCTCGTATACACCTCTCTTGTATATTCTAGATGTCAGTAAATTTAAATTTATTGTTAGTAGAAATTTTGCACCCCCAAAATTCTAAATTGAATCATGAAATCCCAAGAAATACTTGTCAGAATCTTCTGACTGGTATCTTTTAATTTTAAATTTTAATCTCGAACCCCCCTTCTCCAACAAAAAAAATTAATTATTCCCGTAACTTTAGCTACAACCGCTATTAAAACAACAAAAACGCTAATAAATGTGGTTGAGAAATTGCAAAAACGCAAAATAGAATGGCTTACTCAGGCTTCTCTCTAACTTCCGGTATTGGCGTCTGCAAGGGTTCGGGACTTCTTCGAGGAGAAATCGAAGAAGCCCTTTTTTTCCCTCCAGGATTAAAGAAAAAGTGGCCTTCATTTGGTCTGAAAAGTTCAGCGAAAGCTTAAATTAGTACTAGTGATAATAATGATTGACCAGCTTTAGGTTTCTATTCTAGGTAAAATGTGTTAATTTCTAGGACGTTTTTGAATATCTCGCGTAAAGCACTACCCAGTCACAGTAAGTACCTTTAACGCTTCGTGAAATTAACGGGAATTTCAACAATTCGCGTTAATTTAAGTCGCGTATAATTTCAGTAAACGCGTCATTAATTATGTGAAGCGTTAATTTCCGCGACCTTTATTTCCATTATATTTTGGCCCCAAATTCTCGATACACTATTGAAATACTTGACACCTCACCTAAAAAAGGGAAGTATTTTTATCAGGGTGGAGATCCGCCAGTATCGGTTCGGAACTGCGAAGAACCCTCGAAGTGGCCAGATTTCTTCGCTTATGACCCCATTGTACGTTTGTGGAAAGAACCACTTGCAAAGTTTCCTTTACGAATTTTACGTTTAACTTTGTATCTGTTGTTTCAACAAGTTTTGTTCCTTTGTGAACGTCGCGTTAATTTCCTTTTCCTCCCTCTCTTTCGCGTTAATTTCCTTTAGTCGAAAGTAATTTAAGTCGCGTTTATTCCCAATATCTTAATAGTCATGGAGTGTTTATTTCTTATAACTAGTTATAGCTATCGTTAAGTGCCAACAAGCAAAGATTTATGGTGCGCCAATGAAGCCTTCCGAATTATTTTGCTTCAAAGACGCAAAAATTTCGCTGCGTCATTATTTTTCTTAGCGGCATGCAATAAAAAATTTAGACATCGTGACCAGTACATTTCAGTGTGAGTACTGTCAATGTTTTACATTCAAACTGAGACGCGATAAATTCAAACTAAAATGTACAAGTCATGGAGGTATGTATAGTGCGCATTATTTTGGAAAAATTAGCATAACGTCAAAACAGTTGATGGTGTTGCGCAGATTACTGACCGGTAAGTAGGATATAGGTTTGTCTTGAAATTTCAAGGAGTAGCAGTGAATCAGTCTTAATGAAAGTTTCAGACATTATTATATACATTATGAAGATTATCTGAACAGATTTAAAAAAAAAATCGTTTGAGTCGTTTCAGAGATATACAAAAAAGCGCTTATTAAGTCCAAATTTTGTATTGAGTTGCACCAGAAACTCATAAGGGGTTGAAAACCCCTTATGAGTTTCTGGTTGCACTTATACAGGTGGTGAGAAAACGGGTTAGTTTTCAAGATTGCAAGAACGAAAATACACCGACAAGTCCTAGCATCAAAGTATGATATTAAGCAGCATTCTGCCGCTACTTAAGAATAATTTGAGTCATTTACAACGTTTTTATTAAATAATCTATCACGGCTATTGAAAATTTAAGGTTTGAAACATATATTTTTGTTTTAGTCGAATTTAAACATACAGAATTTTTTAATTCTTACGGAGATTGTTAGCTAATCACCAAACTCTAAGTTCCTAGTGTTGGATTTTCAGTAGCTGGTCTAAATCGCGCAAATTAGGCGTTTATCAATTCCAAAGTTTTTTGTTTATTGTTGTCATAGTAAAAATGATTTTACTAAAACCTACATTTTGACAAATTTCAATGTATAGTCAATCATTAGTGAAAATTTTATAGCGATCAGACAAGAATAAAATCACTTTTAGAGCGATTGAAAAATATCGTTTTTTTTAGAAGGGAGGGAAAATAGTACGCACTCCTCCCCACGAAAGACATAAAAAAGGTTTAGGGAGAGCATGATCACAGCTATAATAGCTTCAAAGAAGCTTACGTGCTAAGAAAAGAATGTACCCACTGGCAGACATATCCTAGTTCTAGAAAGAGCATGAAGGGTTTCAAGGATAAATATATTTTAAAGTTGGTCGGATAGATCTCCTCTCGCCGGTGTATGTAGAGCTAATAAGCTCTGGAGCTCGACACCTACTCCAGTTTGAAAGTCTAACTATCAGTAATAATGGTGAAACATGACTTACCTTGTTACGAATGGAGACTGAGGTACTTCCCCGGAGAGTCGTTTTGAAATTTGTCTTGTAAAGATTCCTGGACTGGGAGGGACTTGCAAATAGTCGCTGTAGGTGGTTCGGGAACGTTCCCGAGCCAAGTTTTCCGTCGATGTCGACCGACTTGGTGTCGTAGGTGCAGAGTTATATCCTATAGGAACTATAATAGGAAATAAAGGATGAAAGCAAGAACACCAGTTTTATTGTCCAGTTTTATATTCATTTCACTGGCTCCAGTTAAATTAAGGATATAATTTAAAATTATTTTTTATTTGTGAGCTACATAATAAATCACGCATTTGACACACCAAAAACTATTAATAAAAGTGAAATGGTTTGGTAGTTCATTGGTGTTTATATAATAAATAGAACATCACATGGCCGTGATGTTTATCGTAATTAGAAAATTGCCCATGTCTTCGAAACTATGAATCATTTAATTGAACTACGAATGAAGAGTCCCTGCGGAAAGTAGGTAGGTTTTTCATTTAAAGCCGTTTTGTGGTTTCGGCAGTGACTTTGTTTGTGCGAAGTTGTCTGGGATTTCAGTTCTTTTTTTCGACCTTCTTGTCATTTCCACTGTCAAGTGTAATAATTCTGTTAGCTTTCTTTCTTGTTTTCTTCCTTCTTCGTTAACGACCAGCTTCTTTTCAATTAAAACAAATTGTTGTGTTTTTGAAGTGTTCCGTGTGTGTATTTAAGCTTATTTCATTGCGTGATTGCGATCAAGTTTGACTATTAATTACAACAGATTCGTTAAGAGTACTGCATGTAGTTGACAGTTAAATGTTAAAAGTGAATTACGATCAAAAAGAGTAAAGGTATTCTGTATCATGTAGACATTTCCGTACCATATTTCTTCGTTTGCCAGTTGAAAATCGTGTTTTACTAACAAAGGAATAGTGACGTCACTGGAAGGCATTAACTGCCGGTCGATTCAGACGTTAATGAGGGAGTAAAAACGACTCGAAGTAATCGTCTTGAAATTCAGGCTACAAATGGAGACGATTTGGGGGACGTTTTAAGGTTGATTTAGAAAACTGAGTTAAAAATCCTAGGCTAGCTATGCCTCTGCTTTCTGCAACACCGAGTTGAAAGAGAGAGCGATGAATGGAACAGTGACAGATGCATAAAGAGAGAAGTAATTAAAAATGAATGAATGTCCAAGCTGATGTCGTGGAAGAAAACTTTCAAAGTTTAAGCAAACAACTTTAAATAATCTGTGGAAGTAACAGGGGAACCCGACGACTGTTTTGTGTAAATATCTGTTCGGAGAAGCATAAATTACCCAGAATTTTCTATTACTTTCCATTCATTTACAGGTTTGTAGCTTATCTAATAAATTCCTACGATTTTCTTACGTTTGATTTTTTGCATTTTACTCCTCAGGTTAAGCTTTTTCTGAGGAAAAGGAGACCTAACTTTTTCAGACTGGAAAGTCTGAAGTAGAGAGAAATCAGAAAAATTTTCACTTTCGAAAAACTTTAATAGATTACATCTAAAATTTTCTGGAAAATAATACTGAAGCTCTTTTCTTTTCGAAAACACTCAAGTTGCCATAGGATGACCGAACAGATGCAAATTTTATAGCGCTGCTTAGATTGCATTTCTGGAGATCTAAAAGTACTCTAGATAGCCTAAAAAGACTTGTCAATGTATTTAGGAGGAAACCGTTGTTGGGTGCCCCTGAAGTTAGTTTGGTTTGGCTATGTAGGCTGCTAGAAGCTGGTCAGTATACGTACTGCCTTCACCTTGACAAAACCAGTTTGCTCGTGGTTAAGAGCAATCAGTCAGAAAAAAAGGAAAAAAATTACGTTACCACCAAGACAGAACGGAGACAAAGGTCCACATGCTCCAGTTTCTTCGTCAACTCCTCTAGTAGGGTTTCTCTCAGCCAATTTACCTAAGCGAATTCGCAGATTTCCTGGACACCTAGTAAACCGAGAATACAGGATAGTACTGTACAATAACTAAAAAGAGTCTGAATCTCTTTTTGTAAGCATCAACTTCAAGTTCCAAAATGCTAGGATCCTTTTATGGCTCATTACATTGCTGTGAAACTCAGAAAACCGTGAACACCTAAAATAAATGAAGATATGATCGTCGCAGTGGTAGTTGCAATTTAAGCAATCGCAAATTAAGTCGAAAATATTTCGCGACTTCAACGGGATTCGAAACCACGGCCTCTGCGTTAGCGCTGCAGTGCCAACTTAACTCTGAAGACCTTTCATTCTAATATGTTTCAGTCCCTTTACGGGTTAAGATGAACTAAACAATTGCAAATTGGCCTGCTCTCGATGTATGAGTCTTCATAGCTCAGTTGGTAGAGCACTGCAGCGCGAACGCAGAGGCCATGTATGGGTTCGAATCCCCTTGAATTCCCGAAATTTTTTTCCTCGGCTGTATGACCTCTAACTTCTTGTCCTTGAGCTTGCCAATTTGCACTCTAGTTCTTTATGGACAGCTGATACCACCATCTTCGCTAAATTAATAAGACCCCCCCCCCACGTGTTTGAAATAAATAAGCCCCCTCCCGGCGAGTTAATAGAGGATTTACGGTAATTTGCAAATTGCTTAAATTGCAATTACCAATGCGACAATCATATCTTCATTTAAATTTGTATTTCCGCAGTTCACATCGCATATTATCTTCATTCTAAAAGGTATTGTGCTGTTACCAATCACAAAAAACATCAGGGCACGCAAGCAAGGCACTGAAAACCCAAAAACAAATTACTGCTTTTGCTTGCGGTAACATGATAACATTCGGAGGGAAGCAAAGTTATAAGCTGTCCAATTAGTATATTTTTAGGAACCAGCATTTACATCTGTGGCTACGGGCAGGGCGAGTTATTGTTCAGGAATCTTAAACGATTCTCAGTTTACAATTTTGAAGTAAATTCGATTGGTAAAATCAAGATCAGTTATCGATCGCGAGGATTGTAGGAATGGCTGAATAGAACCGCTCAACGCATAAAATATACTGTTTCTACAGATAACGACATTACTGAAGCATATTTTAATGTGCAAGTGAATTGAATCCCAAGATTGCATGCAGAAGAAAACAACAAACACTTTACCTTTTTATAACCCTTAAAGCCCCTTTCACTTTTCCTTCTTTTTCTTCATGCTTTGGCTCAAGTTCTTCCTCAACAGGCTTGGCTTCGGGTAGTTGATTCTTAGATAAGAACTCCGATAAGGTAAAGGCTGGTGTAGTCAGCATTTTGTGCATGGTTGGAAATGAGGATTTTCTCTCCCTTAAATCTTCAGTTGATACCTGAGCACTCATTGCCGGTGTGCAAGGTGCAGAATTCCACTTCTTACCACCTAAAAGGAAAGCCCGGAATTTGAAGGCTTTTAAATTCTTTTCTGATTTGCCGGCAAACCGGCATTTGTTTTGGATGAAAGCAACCAAAAAAAAACATACACCACAAGAGAATTGACACTTAATAGAGTGAAAGTTATGACAATTTTTCATGAACCTGCAATTGCATCTCGGATATCAAACACTTAATATATAGATTTAGCCGAGGCTAAAGGCAAAGCTCAGCGTTAATGATAAATAATTGCAAGAAAGAAATCCAATTAGAGTTGGGCCTGCGATCAGTTGAGAATTAGAAACTTGTCAGCGGTAAACTTCAAAGAAGACGTAACCTCGATGGGTCGACACCTGAGCCCGCGATACGGTCATGAAATTCTGGTCAGCGGATATCCTGTTTTGACAGATGTCAATCGACCACAACATGGATGGGCAATATTATGTTGCAGGTTCCCACACTAGTTAGCATGTGAAACATTTCACATTGGTTTCCCTATTATGGTGCGGACGGGAGGGCGTGTGGACGTACGGTCCACACGGATGAACAGGTAACCAAATTTTCTTAGCTATGGGGCTCCGCTAGAAAGCTAGGCCTCTTTTGATGACTTGATCGTGAACAATTAAGCTGTCAAACCGGTTTCGACGGTGTACTAGGTAAAACTCACAAAATGAATATAAAATGGCATAACTTTGTCTTAATAAGATACCTCTTCATCTTTTTCATTTAATGAGGGGTTTGCCTCCTGAAAGGTTAATTTCATCCCTACACTACTACTACAAATGTACTACTGCCTGGTTCCACGTGAAAGCTACAATCGCTGAAAAATGATCTGCATGGTCGCCATCCCCGACGGTGATCGCTACCATCGTTGAAAACTTGTTTTCATATAATGGCTGTCATCCATGACTTTCTTCCCTGGCTATTTTGGCCGGATTACAGAATACCAGCCTTTAAAGCGTGCAAATTTCAAAATCAGGTCAGTGCTTGTTGCGCACGTATGTTTTTTTTTTTTGGATAAACAAAATTCTTTTCCTCTAATGTGTGTAATCCATTCCTTTCTTCCCTTACTATTTTGGCCGAAATATAAAATACCCGCCTTTAAGGCGTTCAAATTTAAAATTCAGGTTAGTTCTTTTTTCGTCTTTTTTTTTTTTTTTTTGGATAAACAAAAAAAAAAAAGCATTTAAAGGCTTTTATTTTCTTTCACCTCGGTGTTTTTTCTTATTGTCCTTCTTGTTGCTTTCCTCAATCCCTACATCACGGAATTCTGATCTTGGGCAGAGGTTATCTTCTTTTACCACCGCTCGCCGTTGTTTTGTGTGATGAAGCGTTAAGTCAGGAGGACTGTTCTCACTGCAAACATGTGAATCCCGCCTAGGTGAGAGATCTATTGAGCTTACACTGCGTGCAGACACGTTTCTACAAGACCTGCTGTATGTTCTTACGTTGGCGACGGTTTCCACCCTGGTCTTACCTGTTTTAAAAGAATGTAGCTTATTAATTCTGCAGACATGTATTTCACAATTCTGTAATTAAGTCATAATTCAAGAAAAGGAAAACTAGAGGGGAGCTGATATCGGGGGGAGGGGGGGACTTATAATCGGATTTTTTTTTTTTGTCTTACAGGCGGTGAGATGAGGTCTATAACTGGGACGGGGGCTTATATGATGTACCTTCTTGTTCAAGGACTGGTTCGCTCAGGGAGTGTCTACGAGGCATTGGTACTGGGAAAGAGAAGGAAGAATCATCGTGATCCACAAGGTCATACCACATGCACTGGGCCCCACTTTGCAAAAGCTCTGGTGTAAGGCTGATAAGGACCTGCAAGAAGGTAAGAGAGCGAGACTTGCGTGGAGCAGAACCGTTATGACTATATGAAATGTTTAAATTGCTAAGTTGCAAAAAAGGGCTTTTTTTGCCAAGACTAGAAGTAAGTGAAATATCTTTGAAGAAATTGTTGATTTCTCCTGCTTCTGTAAGCAGCTAACTATGTAATAAGAATTAGACTTTTAATAATCGAACGAACCGTCACAAAATACAACGCGTGGAAGACTGGTATTTGCACCAACAGATCACGTGACCCTAGCTCCTACAGAAGTGTATTTCACAAAATATCTTTGAACTAAAAGGACGTCCTTAGCTCCCGAACAAAACACGAATCACTGTTCTTAAAACAAAATTATCCTTCCTTAACCTGTCGTTATACGTTGCCTAGCAAATAAATAAATAAATAATACTTTAATGGCTTACACAATTACTGGTTAGCCCAGTAGTTTACATTGTGGGCCCAATATAGATACCTCTCCGAGAAATGCGTGACTTCTTGCCTGATCTTCACTCCATAAAGTTACTTCCAATGTCCTGAGAGAAAGCTTAAAAATACATGCAGATCTCAGTATCTATAAATGTCCAATCCAGAAAAAATAAAGATAAGAGAGTGAAGCCCAAAACAGGCCATATTCTTTAAAGGATAGTCCCTGTAAAAATGGGGAGAAATTTGTATAGGTAATAGCATGATTTGTAGTGATATTTGGCATAAATACCACGAGCGATATTTCAAAATTGTTATACTTAATTTGAGACAATTTTGAAATGTCACGAGTTGTATTTACGCCAAATATCACGTACAAATCATACTATTATTTGTTTATACTACTACCCACAAAAGGTTTGTAATTTTCACATGTAGGTATTTCAAATTAAGATGAAATACCACTGCTCTAAGGAAATCAAATTGCAGAAATTTCTCATGTAGTAGTATAAACATTTTAATATCTTTTTTTGAAATTAAATGCAAATGGTTTGATATTTTCTAACATTGTAGAAATAGACAGTTATTAAACTTTTACCGTCCCTTATTTTTTCTGATCATGACATTTTTGCCCATGACGTCACAAAAATGGTTCTGTTATTGTGTTATATCATATTTGTATCTAAATATGGTTTAAGAGGGATCTCAAGACTGAAAAAAAAAACACAGTTTTATGGCCATTTTTTCACTTCCAATATGTATTGAATAGGACCCTCTATTTTAGCCACACTCGTGAATTACACTTGTAGAACTTTTACTAAATTGGCCTAAGAACTAACTACGATTTTCCTCACCTCATCAATTGGAATATTTGAAAAGATAAAACTTAGATCCCACTTTGGAGTTACCGTTTGTGGGTCTGTGTTGGTTTTAAATCGACTTGATATCCTAAAGAGAGATTGAGAAAGTCAAAGGCTATTTAACTCTTAGATATTATTCAGATTATCACCTTGTGCCATAGAAAAGGTTATACCGTATTAAGGCTAAAATGGCTCAATCCTAGCAATGGAGACTTTTGAATACAGTGCAAAAACGTTATGCAACGTAGCTTCCGACTTCTCAGTATACCTTTGCTGACGAACACTGTGAGATACAGCGGAGAACTTGGTGCTTAAATTTTAAGCCTTGATAATGAAAATTTTTCAAACTTTACAATTATTGTAGAAGAACTATACTATTAAGTAACGTTCAGTTTAGACTAAGAGGACGCGATTAAGTACGAATACGAGTACGAACTCAAATCCCCGTTTTTCACACCATTACCGGCTCTTACGTCTTACTTTATGAGTGCATTGTCAGCAAGAGGAAGCTGGGAAGTGAGAGAGTTCTATGAAAAATACCGCCTTCAAAGTTTAAAAGTGGGGTTCGTTCTCAATTTCGTCCTGTTGGTTACTTTTAGATAACAGAAAAAGGTAAAAAAAGGACTTTACGCATGGGAAGTACAATTACTGGTAACTCTTTAGTTTTCTTTGTCACCCACAGTTAGGACAGAAACAAATACGTACATTCGAACCTCCACTAACGGCCACCTCCGCACAACGGCCACCTCTCACAGCTGCCACCTCTCACAACAGCCATTTTTTTTGGCGGACAGTCCATACATCTCACAACAGCCATTTTTTTTGGCGGACAGTCCATACATCATTCGCTCTTGTTTCAACCTCTCGACAACGGCCACCTCTCTACAATGGCAACTTTCTTCTGTCCTCAAGGTGGCCGTTGTAGAGAGATTCAACTGTATTTTAAATAAACATAAGAAAGTTTAAGAATCCGAATTTAACCTGAGTTTACAATTTAACAAGCGTGACCGAGGAGTTAAACTCGGGACTGCCGAGAACACATCCAGCAAACAGTTTGGACGGGATTTGAAATCAGGCTTCCGGATTGCAATTCCAGAGCCGGTCCTAACTGCTTGGCCTCGCTGCTTCCCCAGGTATGGTAGAGAATTGACATACTCACTCTCTGTTAGGCAGCAGGTAAATAAGCACGTAAGGATTTGGTAGCTGGTTTGGTTTGTCTTGTAGTGATAAGCTCTTCGCACCTATCACCCGGACTATGATATTGTTTCCATTCGGATCATGCCATAGCTGCAGCTACAAGATATTTAAGCAAACAACCGATTAAAGTATTAAGGCTGAGCTTGTTGATGGTCTCCGTACTCTTTGACTTGTTGAGTAAAAAGCCAATTAATAATAGAGATTTTGAGGTCACTTAATTCTTGAGATTTAACTGTATTTATCCCGGCCTTTTTTTGATGTGTTTGGTTTGAACAGAAGACACCTAAGCCACCAACATTATTTCAATAGTATCAACAGTACGAGAATGAAACTTGCAGAGTTCGCAGAAAGTCAAAACTGCCAGATCACGTGATGCAATGAAGTTATATTTTCTTGGATCATCCATATCTTAGTTTACCGCGATTGAAAAAGGTGTTGTACAGAGTGTCTCAAATGGTTTAAACTAACCGAAAGGACAAGTTTGTGGGTATTGATTTAAAAAAACTAGCATAGCTGGGCCGCCTAGCTGGTTAATGATATCTCGTTCCGATAAGAGGAAGGTAATTACACAATGGAAGAGAAGGAAAATACCGCTAATCGTTATGAAATCTCTATATTTACCAGTATTTGTCCTCTGTTCCTTTCTGTTTGGATTTTATTTTCACCCTGGGTAAGCATCAGAAATGAAAAAATAATAATAATAAATGTAAGATTTTTTTTCCAGTAGACGTTCAGTTAAACGGATCCAACATCTGATCTTGTTGAATCCAAAAGAGTTGGATGACATTCGATCACGATAGCTGAGGCTTTAACTGTCTGACATGTTTCACGGGAAGCTCGAGTCGAAACGAGTACTAGGCTACAGAGATAATTTTTTGCTTAGCTGTATCATAAGGGCGCAATCGAAGGAAAGTTGCCCGTGTGCACTGTTGAAGTTATTCAAACGTGCTCAACTTGATGCTTAGCTAGTCCGGGCTACTCAGAGACAACCACTGTCCATTATAACAAAAGAGATATTAGGCCATACAGAGCCAGAGAAGATGCGTGAACTGACACTTTTATCTTAACAGGCGCTGGTTGCCCGCGTTTGCTAACCTTTGCATACAAATTGTCGCGAAAGCTTGCCTACCTCTTCAGAGGTGAAGTCATTAGTCATAAACTGAGAAAGTGACCATCGTGACCAGCCTGTAAAGCTCTCTGTAATTCAAACAATTGCATTTAAGTAAATCAATGGGAAGCAGGTTACTGTTACCATATGTACCAACACTAAGAACACCAAACGCTTCTCCCCATAAGGAAGACTCAGATTCACAGAGAATCAAGGAAAGTGACTAAGGGGTAGCAGAGACCAACTGTACGGCTAGTTGTCCGTTTTAGAGGGGAAAGGGGATGTCCATCTTAAAGAGGTGTCTGTTGAGAGAAAGTAAACTACAGAGAACACTCTTGGGATAGATAGATTGGAGTTACAAATCAGTTTCCACGCTCCATCCATAGCCAGTCAATCATCCACCAATGGTGACACCATTTTGTACATGTTTGGACTAAGTCTGAAAGCAATGGTCCATTTCCGAGTTGCCCGAAGCCTTTGTTTTAAAGTGAGGCCATTGATATGAAATTTTTTTTTTACTCTCTAGCAAATAAAACTCATTTTCACAAAAAAGGTTTTGCACTAGCATCCTTTTGAAAGTGACCTCGAAAATGGACTATTGAATATTAAGCACGAGACACAGTGTTCCATCCGCTAACGCTTCGTCCCCAGTCTTTTGCAATCGCTTCTCATAACTCCATGTGGAGCCCTGTACACGTTTCTATCATCCCCAAACGCTTTTTCTTCATTCTCTGAAAGCTTTTTAAAAAGTGCCGTGCTAGCCGAGAGAGGGAAGACGAGTGAGACGCATTACAAATGCTCTTTTCCCTCGATTTTCGCTCCTATTCTGAAGCCAATGGTCAATGGTCGCTTCTATTTTCTCGGTTACTAAAAAAATACGCCTCCAAAGCGTTTTTTGACCACTAAAAAGGGCGCAAAATCGACCGGATCAAGTTTGTTTTGTCGCAGTTCTGTTGCTTCTCAACTGCAGACACCAACCCGACATTTATATGTTGTGTGGAACCCTTCCTCCGTTTGAATTTTATATTCCTTTCCGGATTCCGATCGTTCCCGGGATTCCGATCGCTCGCGGGATTCCGAATTGTCTTTGGGTATGGTACTGTATCGTACTGAGTCTTAAACAAAGAAAACCAAAATTGGAACCAAGGATATAACTGAACCACATCATAAACATGGGAAACCCAAAACGACACTAACTCAGACTCATTTATAAACTCGCCTCGCTTCTTGTGATTCACCAGGTCTCGCTTTGTAAGGCTTCTATTTTGGTATACAACCAGGAAATCTGATACGGCGAGATTTAAATGATTGCTAGCACATATCTACTTACCGCGCGTTTTCGCTTGCTGGTGCAAGGTCATCTCCATTGTTTCTCTAGAGTGTTGGCGAGACAGCTTAAAACTTGAGTGTAGATTCAATCATAAAATTTGTTAGTAACGATCGTTGTAATAAGTCAGCTACATAAATGGATTTTTGCAAAAAGGAGCTATGTTACGATATTGTAATTGCATTACAGCCCTTTAAAAACACCTAGTAGATTAATTTTAATTGTTTTCTTTGTTTATTAAAAACTTAATCTTAATACCGTACATAGATCAAAACTACATATCTTTACGGGCTTTCGATTAAAACGATGGAAATGATTACAGCTTGGGTAATCATTTTAAAGTTCAACCCTTACGTTTTCTTAAGATCAATAACAGCTGATCATACTTTTTCCTTCGAAAGTACTGTTTGATATCTTTCTTTTAGAGATCTCCGAGTGAATAAACGTTTTAGGATTGATTTAAATTTTAACTCAACTATCTCCCAAGAAAAATATCACCTATGAAACGGGAGTTGCTAGGCTCTTGGAACTTCAAAACGTACTTGTTTCGTGTTCTTAGAAATTCACGCCTGCTTACAGCCCGCCCACGTAAGGGAATCCAAGACAGTCTTGGATTCTGGATTCCATACCGTGGATTCCGGATTCCAAGTACTGGATTGCGGATTCCAATCGTAAGTGGTATTCCGGATTCCATGAGCTGTATTCCCGATTCCAAAACCCAGGTGTCTGGATTCCACAAGCAAAAATTTCCACTATTAACCAGATGCCCAAAGCAAAATTTCCCGGATTCCGGAATCCGAAATCCCTTATACGTGGGGCGATAACAGTGCCTCAAAGAGCACTCGGAAAGATTCGTATCTCCTCATCAGTTCGAAATCATTCAGTTTGTTTTTACCTGGTAGTATTATGACAAACGACGAGGTTGACTTCCTCTGGCGAATCAGCAATAATACTCCTGACTTGTTCAAATGATACATCCACCATTGATCTGTGATTCCATTCCAGAATCTGGTCACCTTTAAACAATACCACAAAGTTAGTATCCCTAGGGTAAACTGGATGTCCTTTTTCACCTGCAAAAGCGCTTTAATAAAGCGTAGAAAATTTTATTCTCCCTGCCTATTTCCCTCTGTTTTCTAAAATAGAGGAACATCAAAGAAGACTCCCTTCATCTTTATAGTATACCTGTACATGAACCGAAGACTTAGACCCTGTTTACACGGGTACGGATAAATTCTGTTACAGTTTGCAGCACTGTTTGCCCTTCAAAAAACTTGCACGGCTCCCATGTGAAAGAAAAGCGGATCCGTGCAAGTGTAGTCCGTTCAAAAATTTGTCTGGATCTAAGTTGACGGGGTCTTAGAAAACTTAAACCTGAAAAAGTACGAAAATTCAAGAAACGTAGAGAGGGGTATTTTGGGTGTTTTAGGGGTGTTGTGGGGGTATTCCGGGAAAGTTCAGCGGTGTTCTGGCCCTGTTCCAGATTTCACAGACACCCAAATTCTGCAAATTGGAGAGATTATTATTGTTGCTTGCCTTCTTTGATGCACTTCTCTGCTGTCGAATCTCCTGTTACCTTGGCGACATATACACCATTGAAGCCACCTGTACACATTCTTCCTCCGACCACTTTAATACCAAACTCGGAACCTGTAATAAACGCAGCGACATTGACACCTCGTGAGCGCTAAATAACCCAGTACACTGAGCTTTACACAAAATGGCTCTGTTCTTCAGAAGAGACGCAACATGCATATGTGAGCTCTTAGATATGGACTGGGAGATGATCTCTTCTTCATACGTTTACTACTACTTCTTAAAAGAAGGAATCCAAAAAGTAATATTTACCAAAATAACAGAAATAATTAAAGATTTTAGAGTAGAGATATAGGCCTTACTTTATGTTGGTGACTCGTAACAGTACTTAAACCGGGACAAATTAAACCTGAAGGCCGAAGATGCGCTCATTTTACCCCTCCCTCCCTATCTGTTTCAGTGCTCCGTTTTACAGGTACCTAAAGCTACTTAAAGCTACAAGGAAAGGATAAAAGTTGAAACAAGGATTGAGGTCATACCTGGAGCGTTCCGCACAGAAGGCTACGCTCCTGAAAGAGTGCACTCGATCAATCTAGGTCCCAAAATCTCTCTCCTTTGCCAGGTTATTTAATGCGTCATTCGCAACTAGCAAAATCTGCGGAGGGGGTTGCATTGAGTAGGGTATAAATCTCAAGATCCGTTCAATCAACTGATGCGTGTCCCATTGAATCTCACTCCACTTTATTTGTGTGTTTTTTTTTTTTGTTTAATCTGCCAATACCTTTTCCTCCGAGACACCCTTCCACAATACCGTGAGTATGTTTAAAGTATACCTGATCCAGATCCTCCATAAAAGAGAGTACTTTTGCGAAGAGAAACCATTTGAATGATTGGGCATACGCCCTGGTTGTTTGACAATGTAGACACTGCAATCTTCATGAAAAACAATAAAGATCAGTTTAGCTTAGCACGGACTAGAGCTGAGTTTGATTCAGATATGAAAAACTTTTCGGGGTAATAATTTACCCCTATAAATTTTTGATGTTTTTACCTTATATGAAGTATAATAAATTATAAAAGAAATTTAAAAATTTTGAAATGTCGCTTTTTAATTATCAGTTAATATTTGTTTTCAAAATCTTTTTCTCAACGTATTAGGTACCCCCTTTGAAACATGGAAAGGAAAAAAATCGCATTGCAGGAAATATTACTTTTAACTTGAAGTTTTAGTATGCTTCAACAAACATATTCAGAATAACTGCTTATTCACCAAAAAGCGGGTCTGGTTAGCTGTAGGCATGGGTTCAAATACCGGCCACACTAACACGCAGGATACTGTTTGTGTTTCACATTTGCAAATGTTAGACCTTGCAGTTTTTCCCGATAAGAAAACTAAAACAAAAGCATGAAACGTAAGCCCGTCTCACAGTACTTCAGGCCTCGGAGCTTACTCTTGTCCACTTGAAGAACTAAGCTTTTGTAAATTATACTATTGTTTCCTCACTAAAATGCTCGTCTTTAATGGTCCATTTTTCCCACTAAAATGCTCCGTTGCCCTCAAATTAGTCATTAAAATGCTAGGATGATGCTCATCATTAAGAGTTTTGCTTTATAGATTCTTAGCGTTTTTAGAGAGTTTATTAAGGCTAACAAAAATGTATAAGTGGTATAACAACAATGTAAGCAAGTTAATAGTTTTAATACAGCAAAAAATGATCCCCGAATTAGGGTGAAGTTTGGATATATTTCTTCAAAAAAAATGTTTTAATTTTTACTTTCTCTGAGAAGAAAGTTAAAAATTTTCCAAGAATATGCCACTAAATTACTCGAATAATGCTTAACGCTTTTGCCTAGCAAAAATGCTCAAAGAATAATTTGCTTGCATAATGTACAAAAGCATATGAAGAACCACAAAGAGAATGACGTTCCCAGCTCCCTAGTGTCTATCTTCAGGCAACATTCAAATTGTTGCCTGGCTGTGTTGCCCTGGCCTTACTCTGCGACGACAATTCTAAATCTAAAGCCGTCAGCCATCAGGGCCTGGAAAGACCACCGAATTGTAAGCTTTCACAAATACTCTTTTATAAAAAAGCGTTCCAAATTAATATCACTTATTATTATCCTTCTTACTTTATAGATTTCGTTAGTTTTAGGGAAGACAAGAAAAATTTATAGTAAACTAATCATTAATGACTTACTTTTCGCTGTGTTGTCTGATTTTCCAGCTCATGGTAGTCTGTAGGAGTACTAAAAAATCAATGTAAAATCGTCAGACAATGTGCCACATGAATGCAGTCTTAAACTCTCTCATATCTTGAATAGAGATAAGTTTTATACTGCCCTGACTGATTCGTCTGATTCGGTCTGTAACCATACGAGTGATTAATCATGAGTGTAATTACAGACCGAATTGGACTCCACTCAGTGATATTAGCATTATTAACTGACTAACCAGCTACGTTCATATCCTGATGCATCCTGCAACTCGTCGCCAAACGTTTCTTCGTCTACTGATGAGGAAAGGATAAACGAAGAACCACTCGTCTCGCCTTGACTCTGTTCTTCTGGGTGAGGAAAGCTGAGATATTCGTCCGAGTACATTGGTTGCTCGTTATTATCTTCTTCAAAAACGTCGTCATCATCTCCGTCAGCATCGGAATCATCATCTCCACCTTGGTACCTTTTTACGTGCAGTCTTGTCTGACTCTGAGTGTACTTCAAAGTGCTTTGAGGCTGTTGCTGTCTTTGGGTTAAAGAAGGAGCATTGCAAAGGCTCGGTGGCTCGTAAGGGGGTGATGAAACTCTAACAGCTGGCTCATCTCTCCTTCTGCAAGTTGCCTACGTTGAGAAGGATTTTTTTAGAACGACCTTTAAAGTTCAGTCTCTAAATCGATCTTCTAGGACTGAAGGGTACGAGGTTTCAGATTTCTCTTTATATTGTATAAAACAATAAAGCTATGTCAGGAAAGCTCTGATGATTTATTACTTATCTAAGGTCAGCCAGAACAGTTTACTCCTAAATATAGTCATGATTTATGAGTCTTTGGCGAAACAATCGAAAACAACCCATTTCATTTTCAAGAGATAACAGGTCCAGCCAGTCAGTTCTGACGTTTGGTAACCGCCCTAAGATAAGCCAATTTACGATAACTGATAACGCCATGCATTATGTCCTGGAAATTACAAGGAACCCCGCGATATCAATACAGTGAATTGATATCGACAGGTGACTCAGACTTGGAATTGGAAGAGTCGAGGAAAACAGCAGAAGATTTTATACGTTATCTGAAGACAAAATAGGCTAACTCCTGCCTCAAAAACATAGTGAGGATCAGGAAAAAACAACCACTCGAGGGGTGAAAACTAGTGCTGTATTAAGAATGTCTGCTAGAATAAATACTTTTCATATTCTGAAACTAACAGGCAAATCAGGTTATGAGACTGGAACTTTAATTAAACCAATCATTGGATTCGGCTTTCGTGCATGATATGAACAATTATATTTGCAGATCTAGATCTTGGAGGAGTTATGCGCCTCATTGGATAAAGCCCTCATCAATGTATTACAGCGGAAGATCTAGCCTGTTCCAGGGGTTCAGATAGTGGAGTGCGGCGCGAAATAAGAGAACGGATTTTCCTGCTCACTCCTCTTCGCGCCGTCCGCACGATCTGAACGCCTGCAACAGACTAAGGAAGATCAAAAGAAGTGTCTTTAAAAATCTTCTTATACACACCACCTCCGTTCGCCTCACAAATTCTTCAGCAATTTTATTAAGCATCACTTGAACCTGGAATCTTTCACAAAACTCAACATCACTGTACCATGCGCCAGTTATGATAAGGCTTGCTCGTTTCTTCAAGCATAAATCACACCTCCACTTGCACTGTCAAAAATAAAAATCCTCTTTAAAAACTATTAGTCAGGCCTCTAGTCTATGAATCCGCTAAAGATCTCTAATGCCTTAAGTTTTAAGACTATATATCAAGATCACCCAAAAAAATATTGGGATATAAATCGTACTTCATCTCTTTTCCCGCATCTTGGACACGTCTTTTTACTGCAGCTTTCACAGACCAGTGCCGATATTGATGCCACTTTAACTGTCAAACAGATATTGCAGCTTTGTGCGATATTTTTCCTGTGCAAACTGCAAGATCTTTGATCGATTTTCTCTTCAAGTTCCTTGATTTCTTGCTCGAGTTTTCTAGTGAGGAGATTTAAAAGTCATTGATCAGTGAAAATGAGTACCTTCTCAGTGCTTTCCATTAAAATGACACTTAGATTCGGCCCTGCTGTTCTTTATTTACGTATTCACTAAAAGGTGGACACCACTCTCTTAATTACTGTAGGTTTGACACCTAGGGTACAGGCATTTTTATGAACCTGACCTTCCTGATGAAATAATATAAGTTGTATATATTTTACCTTTTTCTTTTGGCGTTGATTTCGTGCAGGACCCATTGCCTCTCAAATACGTCTCGTAGCCTCGACAGTTCCTCGTCTGATAAGAGTGTGATATCAATATCACTAAGCAACGGCACAGTGTTGGAATTCTCCTCCGGCATTTTCGCGCCATTTTGGTTTGTGCTTGTGGCCTATTGTTTTATATCAAGGAGTTAAGCCATTATTAAGCCTTTTGGGCGTTAATCATATCGCAAACTAAAACAAATATTGAGGCCCATTTGTCACTTCAATTGAAATCGATTCGCATGGTCAAGGAAAGATGTAATTGAAAACCAGAGACCCGATCCTGATAGCTTTAATTGCTATAGTAGATATGCCAGAGAAATTTCAGAAAAATCGTTGTAGCAGAAGTCCGTAACTAAAAGTCGCTCAAAATTCAGCTGTGAAATTGTTTTGGAATTTCGAATATAAATTACTATCAGGTAGAAGGAGCCACCTTTTAAGCGCTAATTTAGCAAAATATATTTACCATCAATGAAATCGCAATATTTCGCAATATTGCCGAATGATATCTGGTGTTCTTTGCAAAGTTTAGCAGCCATCGCGTTAAAAACGAAAAAGTTATGACGAAAACTTCGTCACAGCTAAATGCGCCTGCATCAATGACGGAGCCACCTTAACCCGTGAAATAAGTAGTAGTCAAAACTAAGCACTATTATGCACTAATTCCATTGTCTTCCTTTGTTTTCTTGTGGCTATTTTGCACTAGTTAATATCTGTTAGTAAATTCACTGTAATGAATATTAAGTAATAACTTAAAGTAATAATAAGTAATACATAATAAGTAATAAACCCAAGCTTAGGCCTAGGCCAAACGTCGAACTTTTCATGAGACGAACTAAACTCTAATTTGGGTCGACCTAAATTAAGTTAAGATCGTCTGTCGGGTCAGACGTCGACCTTTAGGACGCGTCGAACCAGTCAACTGAATCACACCAAAAAGGAAATTTTCTCCCGAACGAGGCTAAATATACATTCTCATACAAATGTTTAATTTATCTGTTTAGTTCGCCGCAAGTGAAGATGGACGTTTGTCTCGGAGACGATCTCCAGACGTTCTATCCGTCTGAAGCGGACGGATAAAACGTGTTGGACGATCCAAACTCGAGTTAACTGAGCCAGACATCTAACTATTCATGAACTTATTAAACTCACTAATTTTGGTTCGTCTCCTGAAAAGTTCGACTTTGTGACCTGGGCCTTACACGCACTGTAAACTAACTACCTACTTTAAAATCAGGGCTGTACCCCCGCCCCCCCACCCCCCTCTTGCCGCCTACTTCAACCCCTTCCCCGCTCCATATTGAGTTGCTACAGTAGACCCCGATAACTTTAATTCCCCGCTAACTCGAACTTAAAGTCCAATTTCTTTTGGATTTCACCCCACTTTTCAGTCATTTTTACTCGGTTAACGCAAACTCAGATAACTTGAATTCCCTGCTAACTCAAACTAAATTTCCTTTACCTTGATCAAAAGGTCACTGAAATTTACCCCAATAAATCGAATTCTGGTTCTCGTAACTCTATAATCAGGCAAAACACTAAACCTAACACTACATCAATTTGAATTTAAATGGTGCAACCAACAGGTCGCCTTTTTTACGTAAAAAAGCATAATCATGTTACCGTTACGTTTCTGATGAAGTAAGTTAAATTCAGATTGTACTATACACTTGAGTACTTAAAATCATCAACTATTCATTATTAACACAAGAAATTGACAATTCAATCGATCTCGTTAACCCCACTGTTTTTGGATTCCCTTCAGAGTTCGAGTTACCGGGGTTCTACTAAAGTATATATAGTATATAAAGAAAACAATTTTAGAGTTGCGGTTAAACTTAAAAGATCATCTAATGATACTTTTCTTCGTTGAATTCCGCAGGAAAAGAAACAACCCGTAGTACCCTAAGTATCCTCCTACTCTATATTCTTCAAAGTTGGGATGTTGCTTTCTTTTTGTTTCCCTCCGTAAGCGGCACAACATTGTTTTAAAGGGCTGGGGGCGGCCCCGAGAAGTTCGCTTCTTTTCTGAAGTAGATAGTATCGGCAAAACGTGAGAAATGTTGTTGAGAGAAGAATGTTTCAATTTTTTCATCGACATTGAAGGTTAACTCGTTACTAAATAGATATATCAGAACATTTTTTGAATTAGCCATAAGAGTGCTCTACTTTACTCCCGGTTACTTTCACTGGTTTATTACGTGGATCTTAAACGTTTCACGTTTTACATAACATAATGATTAAACACCAGTACAAATGTATTAGGACACAATTTATCTTCATGAATGCATGTGGGAACTCCGAATGTATACGTACCGATAATGAAAACTAACTTGAATTAAAACAAATGATTTTTTTCGCGTAAACGTGTATCAAATCACGCGCTTCGAAGTGCAAATTCTTTGAGTGTACAAAAATTAAAATTCTCTATATATCTGTAGGTTCAAGAATTTGATTTCTGAGTACAAAAAAAGAAAAAGGAATTAAGGAATCAATTTGGGGATTGCTCCTTTCTTGGGTCAATACTTTCGTGGAGTCGAATGGTACATACTAAAAAGAACAATTATTATTCTATTTCATTATTCACTTACCTCAAAATGCCGAAATATACGGGCCCACATTCGAAATTTATTTCAGCGCATGTAGTGCGACAATATCGGACAGAGTACGTCAAATAATGTATTTTTTGAGACTTTAATCTACTATTTCCAGGAAAAAAACAAGACGCCAAATGTTTTGTTTCTGAAACCTTCAAAAGTACCCAAGAATCAACAAACATTTCCGGCAACGCCTTTTAAAGCGATGACGCAGAAACGAATCCCACAAAGGACTCATCTGTTTGGACGAGTTTATAAAAACAAATTCTGAGCAAAATATTTTTCTTGAGAATTTCGTTTCGCCCCGAAGTCAAAAATGATCCCAGCATCGAAAAAGCACCCCAAGTATCAACAAACATTTTTGGTAACGCCTTTTAAAGCGATGATGCAGAAACGAATCCCAAAAGGACTCATCTGTTTGGACGAGTTTAAAAAAAACAAATTCTGAGCAAGATATGTTTTCGATAATTTCGTTTTGCCCAAGGTCAAAAATGATCCCAGCATCGAAGAAACCGTGAATGTTCTGGTTCTTCAAGTTGGTTAAGTTTGATTGACATCCTTTAATCACCCTATGCCTTGCTTTGGTCCTTTTAATACCTGGAACGAGGAATCATGTATGGGAGCACGTGTTGTTTTGCATGAATATCGCATTATAACTGGAAAAAATCATAACTTGATGCTCAAAGTAAGGGAGCTTTTAGGTATTTATGGAAACTCTTAGTCCATGAATGCTGTCAAGATAAATTTGTTAAAATATTAATTCATTAGTGTCTTTACAGAAAAGAACATATTCTATGAGTTACACCTTTTTATCTGGATGACTTATTGAAATTTGTTTTTCAAACAATTTAAGTGGAAATGTTGAATCACTTCTACCCCACAAAAATGTCACCTCAGCAAGTGGATTTTCCCAATCGTGCGCGCGTTGAAATTTACGTACGTAAATATATAGTACAGGCACAGTATGGAAGGCCACGTATAAAGGTTAAAAGTTGAGTGAGTTACGCCTGGCCTTTCATACATCGCCTTTATTTTATTTACGCGCGTAAAATTTACGTGCGCACGCTCTTGAAAATGACGCGATCGTGGAGGTCCACCCTCAGGGCGTAATTATCGTTTGCCGCGATTGTTTGCGAAGGTTTCAGATTTATTTAAAGGGGCTGTGTCACGGCAGTCCAGTTCATTTTGTTTAATTTTGCCAATTACTTGGCCTTAACCGCTATGGAACTTAAAGTAAGTAAAGGCATTATTTTTGAAGTTGCAAACAGCAGACATCAACTTTGAAAAGCTGTTAGGCTGAACAGTTTTCAAAAACCCTAACTTCAATCCGTTTCAGTCTTCTTCAGTTTTGCACATCCGTGGCGTCTACTGTATCTGTTGTGTTATTTTAACTTTCTTTAATGTTTTAAGCGGTTTTTTTATGTTTGTCTTAATTTAACGGACATTTTGTACTTACCTAATTTGTCTGAATTTCGTGACACAGCTCCTTTAACCAGTTTCTCATTCCTTAACCTTCGGACGTATTTGGCAATGGAGATGGTAGAGAAGAGAGTTACACCCCTAATAGGCTCTATTACCGGCAGCAAAATGAAAACATTAATAATAAGACACTAGCCACTCGAAATTCGGGAAATGAACCCGCGCTCCTCCCCCGAAAAGACTCTTCTCGGGGAGGAACACAAAAACCGGAATCGACAAAAAAGCGGAAGTGAGCCTGGAACCTTGAGTGTTTTTCTTTGAGTTTTTCCCAGCATGAGTTTGTGCTGTTTATTAATCCTAGACACACATTTTGAATAATTATGGCGAGCGTCAGTGACTGCGCTTACAAGCTATTTTTCATTTGCAAAAATCTAGTTTTTGGCCCCATTTTGGTCAAAAATCATACAAAATAGTCTTAAGTAGTTTTCCTTTTATAAACACACTGAATAGTCATGTTTTCGTACGCAAAAGAGCTCCTTGACTAGCTAATCATGTGTGAAAAAAATCGTTTTACGTCCAATTCGAAACCGCAGCAGCCCTCCAGTTTGCCACCTTTCATTGTTTGTAGCGCCCGCGCTTCGACCATTCAACTAGAAAATCTTTCGCACTGAAGTTATAGAGGATGAAAGAGAGTTTTTCTCGTAAAAATGTTGGACCCCCCGGAAAATGGAATGAAATAGCTTCTTAAATTCCATTGTAACAAAGTAGAGAGAGCTTACAAAAAAATCACAACGGGGATGAAAACAGAGCGAGACTTTAGCGTACTTTAGCAACCCGTCCAGCAGCTCATTACCCTGACCTGTCCAAGCTCCCCGGCCACAGGGCTTTTTCGCTTAGAAAATGGAAGGGAAAAAGTCCTGGGCAAGCTGCAACCTGTCATTGTCTAAATCTACACAGGCCATTTTACTCAAATTGTTACTGATTTTAATTCATTTCTGTTCTTAATTTAGACCATTCACCGATCAGACTATTGTAATTTTTTGCTTTTCAGTCACCCAAGATGGCGGTCATATTGAATGACGTCGCAGGTCCACTGCGTCCCCTGCTAGCGGCGCTACTCATAATATTTGTATCATCAGTCTTTTAGAACTCATTACTAACAGTATATTACTATTAACAAGGGTAACGATCCAGATACAAAATGTGGGGCTTAACAAAATTGAAACATGTTCCATGATCGTTACGCCAATCAGAGCTCTAGAATTGCATTATCCAAAGATTCAGTATTAAATAAAATAAAGCTATCTTAACTTATTTTATCTCGACAGCAATTCTTTTCCTTAACAGCCGGGTTGTGTCAGCAAAATTTGAATCAATTTAAAGGAGTTCCCAACAACCGACAGGAAAGGGGTCTACTATATGCCATGTTCCTCACATCAATTATTTCTGTTTCATTTATACTCAGAAAAGATTTCGTTAAAAGGAAGTTATATTTCAGAAACAAGAGATTAATATACCAACTTTGTGACGTCGTAGTAAATTTTCCTTTAGTTTCTATCCCTACTAGAACTTTTGTAAAAACAATGGCAAAGTCAGCATCTTTTTCTATGCCTTGCCATTGAATATACCATTATGTTACAACACACACTAACACCCACACCCAAACGGTGGAGATATGACGTTTGAACAGGTCTTTGTTACAGCAGTTTACTCAAAAGTTTAAAGCACGAAACCGAAATAAAATTAATTATCGCGGAAAACTTCTTAAGTAAACTGAACCTTCATGGGAAGTCGTCTATGGTTACTATGGTTTGCTGTTTTTAATTAACTATCTTCCAGTAGTTTCAATAAGTACTCACCGTCGAAGTTAGTTTATTATAATAAATACTTAACACGTTCAATTTTTTCTGTTTAGATTTAAGTTTCAAGAAAAATGATCTTTTTCCATTTGTGAGTACCGATTAGATTAGCGGTGACCATTTTTAGTACTGTTAACTTATTTTGTATATTTCTAATTGCACCGACACACGTGAATCAATATTTGGAAAAGAAAGATGACCACGTACATTTCAAGAAAACCTCTTTCTGTTTTACTGTAAAAGACTTTGGCGCCGCGAAACCACACGAAACATTTGTTTAATCTCCTTCTGTATTGCTTCCAGTAGACTTGTGTAGTTAAAAAATCCATTGAGTATATCGTAAAAGATGTAAAAATCAAATACATTTATATCTCGCCAACAACTGCTAAAAACGTCTTGGTCGATTTGTGTTTATGTTTACTCAAGTGCCTCAGAGTAGAAATGACTTGGAGTCTCCCATCAAGAAAAGTCAGTCAGTGAACCAATAGCAGATCGTTCATGGACAAATAGAAGAAGTATGAATTCGACAAACACATCTGGCTGGTGTATAATTTCGTGGATTATGTTTCACTCATCTTAAAGGAGAGAATCATCTCCCCTTATTTCCTAAAAAAGGTAAGTTTTGGATAAAAAGACGTGTTTCTATTTGGTAATTTTAAAAAAGTGAGGATAAGATTTTTTTTGTAAAACATTAAAGTCGTTACAAATCGACTAGTACTGTTATCCTGGTGAAAATGAGTAAGATTATACGGCTGACAGTCAAAACGAAGACATTAGGTTTATTGGTTTTAGTGAAAAACCGATTTGGTTCATCAATACCAAACTGTCCGTAATGTATATTAAGGCAACTGGGGTTTTTCGAGGGTATTCTTAACACTTTCCCAAAGAAAAAGTCCCATTTAAGGTGTGAGGGTTTTTAAAACAACCTACAAATAAATGGGCATTCAATAGGGTGAGAATTGGAGAAACTTGTACTGTACTCTACCGTGTCATTATAGGGTTTTCCTTAATTAATGCCTTTACCATTTCTTGACTTTTAAAAATTTAAGGATGAATGTTGTAAACGAATTCGATTCGAACGTTAGACCCTTCGCAGACAATCCAATTGCTGTCTTCTGTAATTGCTAACGACTTCCATTGATTTAATGTCAACATATAAATTGGTACATTGTGTGTTTCATGCATCTGATCTAATTTTCGCACCATCTTTATGCGAAATGACAGCTCAACTTTAAATAGAAGCAGGAAAAGATTGTCTCGAGTTTGCTTCGATCCTAATGCCTTTTCCCATATGAGTCCTTAGCCGACAGCCAACCCCTTAGCCGGAAGGAAGTTTAAGCAAAAAGAGGAAAAAAAGTGAACTAGAACATTCACTATAATTGACATACCGATTACAATTCTAATTGCCTCGCATTGTAAATGAGGGAGCATTTTTTAATTAAATTTTGGAAAAGTGACAGCTACGACGCCTCAACCTTAACTGCCAAGCTTACTACATATTTTTTGTTGACTTGAGAGATGGTGGAAAATGTTCTTAAGCCAAGTGGCTGTGGGAAGTAATATATGTGAATCATCTGAGGCGTATCGCTGTCATCCAATATTCGGATCATTTTACGTTTCTGGGAAACTGCCCATCTACCCCTCCCCTAAACCAACATTAACACTTAGTTCTTACTTAGGGCAAAATGTTGGCTTAGGGAAGGGGTAGGTGGGCAGTTTCCCAGAAACGTAAAATTATCCCAACATTCGTCTCATGTGAGGTAAACCGGATTCCGGAATCCAGGACATTTTTGTTTGTGGAATCTGGAATCGGAAATTTTTTTTTGGCGAATCTGGAATCCTGGGCTTTGGAATCCGGAATATAGCTCAGGGAATTCGGAATTCCGCTAGCGATTGTAATCCGTAATCCAAGTTCCACTGACAAGGAATCCAGAATCCAGTACCTGGAATCCGGAATTCACAGCGTGGAATCAAGAATCAAAGACTGTCTCAGATCAGGTTACATGGACACACCGCAAAGATCAAGGCTGGGCCAGAAAAACGAAGCCCAACCGAGTACGTTTGTTTAAGCCGACTCAACATTTTGACATTGCCCATAATACACTTTGTTTACCTCCCAAAGTTTTGCATAGCCATTGTTTTCAATTTTTCCTGGGTATTACAGTCATCCCAAGAAAATGCAAAATTTTTAGAGGTAAAGGAGGGGTATTGTGGGAAATGTGAAAACGGTGATGCATGAATTGCGAGGGGTTTAGATATCGTATGAAACATTAAAAAAAGTGTCTGATATAACTTTTTAAACAGACGATAACTCTTAATGAAATTTGACGCGCGTTTAAAATCTCAGAGTCAACTGATGTAACAACTACTAGCAGGAACTTTTATATAAAACACCTTCAAGAAGGTTTTCTCCTATCAGCTAGATTGAATTTTTCATGGCTAACACCTTCCAAGTTTGAGCATTAACTACGTCGCCATTAACAAAGATATGGAAAAACAATTACCACAGCTTTATCAGACAAAGATAAAAATCTGTTGGACATCAGAGTTGTCATAGCAACATGGTCATTATCTATTCTACTTGCAGCCCTATTTTTCGTAGCCTGTTCCAGGCTCCGAGATAGTCGGTCCGCGAAATTGAGAAAGCGCGGTGACTTATGCTTACGTGTCATTCCCACTATCTGAGACTGGAACAGGCTTATTTTTTTCGGCACTCGCAGTTTTTCCCCACAATTGCTCAAGGGAGCTTGTTTCTCTAAGCGCCTGCCCCAATGCTCCCGAAGTTTGAGAAAAATCGATGAAAGCATTTCGAGATATTTTGGGATGAAAATTTGTGGTTAAAAATTCAGTAAAAAGTGGAAAGTCTTGATGCTCAATTTCACATTATTGTAGTTTAAGTTTTTTAAAAAACGTGTTTGGAAGATAATGGGGGTAGCTTTAGCCGGTTGCTAGAAAGAGGGATTTGATTAGTATGTTTTGAAGTGCTCTTGTCAGCGGTTTTGTTAAAATCTTGGTCTACTTTAAAAAATAAGCGAATAATTTGGAAACCACTTGATAGATTTTTTTAAAAAAATATGACATTGTTGAGATTAATTGTCGTTTTATATGACCCTCAAGTTTCATGATCATTGAAAACTTGTAACGCAGAAAATAAGGACTTCAAAACGCCAATTTTTTTGTAGGAAATTTTATGTTTACAAGTGAGATCCATTTATTGTTTTCATATTTTCGTGGATAGCAATAGCTGGTATTTCTGTGTATTTCAAATGTATTGTTAGTTACTGCTGTTCACGTGAAAAACTTGGAGACAATACCTCTGAAAAATAAGAGGTCCTCACACGTAAAAACGAAATTCGCGGCCAAACAATAGCGCATTGGAGTCGTTATTTTATTACGTTACAAGTTTTCGATGATGTTGAAACCTGAAGGTCATTTAAAACGACGAGTAATCTCGAGCATATCAGACTTTCAAAAAAATTTAACGACCAGTTTCCAAATTCATTTGTTAATGTATACCAAAATATTTACGAAAACGCCAACAAAAGAACCTCAAGCATGCTAATCAAATCCTTCTTGCAATCGGCTAAAGATATCCACATGATTTTTTTTAAACACGTTTTTATATTAAAAGGATTGAAACTGCTATGAGATGAATTGCATTTCAAAAGCGCTTCGTTTTCTAATTGTCCAGTTTTACACCGGTTTTTCTAGCCATATAAACTTCATGCCAAAATGTCTCGAAAAAGCTCAAACTTCAAGAACATTGGCGTAGGCATTGGGGGAACATGCTGTAGAAAAAAGTCTCAGTGACGTCATTTCGACAAATCTCCATCTTTATGTGATGATGCTGTGGTATTCGTTTTTCGATATCTTTAATTGACAAAAATTTTCCCTTCTGTTTTCTTACAGTTGGCCATTTCCGAGGCGGCACCAAAAAACCCACCCATTCAAAATGAGGCCGTAGCGAAATATTTGATGTAAAACATGAGATTTTTTAAATTTATATTACTGTTTTGTTCGGGGAATAAAAAATATATATATTATAAAGCCTGATGCACACAACTTGGAGCTTTCCTCGCTATTAATTGCTAAATTGCTATTTTTTTCTCACACAGAATGCCCAGTTTTCTTTTATTCCAACTGGTTTTGACAGCAGTGTTTGGGGCTCAGGGTGTCTATAAGAGTGACAAAATCCGCTCTTCATATCTAATCTTTCTGGAAGGTCATGTCATGTTAGGACACGTGACAAAAGTACAGTTCAGTCAAGGCGTTTCTTCGTGTGCACAAAGATGCTTATCTGTTCCAGGATGTCTATCATTTAATTTTGCGAAAGATGACAGTCAGTGTGAACTCAACAATTCATCTTCTCAATTTGCAAGCCACTTCAAAGACTTGACCGTAAAACGAGGATTCGTATATGGTCATTGGATTACACTTCCCATTATGCGATTTGTTTTCACAACGCTCGGTGGACAAGGACCTGTGGGTCCAACTAATACATCAGGGTACTTAGGTACGTCACTGGAAGGTCAAGTTCATCTTAACAATGGTATTCAAGAGTGGAAAGTTCCGTATACAGGAAAGTATTTTATCGAAGCGTTTGGAGCTTCAGGAGCCAATGGTACTTGCGCAAATTGTTCTGGATGGAAACTTGGAGGTCGAGGAGCCAAAATGTCCGGTTTCTTTGAACTTAGCCGAGGACAAAAGTTAAAAATATTAATCGGGCAACAAGGACAAGTCAACTTTGATTTCCCAGAAAACCCAGGAGGAGGGGGTGGAGGTACCTTTGTCACGTTTGCAGACAATTCACCTATAATAATAGCAGGGGGAGGTGGGGGAGGAAGTATTAACTTAGACGGAGACCCGGGACAAGCTGGGCCAAATGGGACGAGGAATGGAGGCATCAGGGGATCTGGGGGTCGAATAACTAATCCAGGTATATTATCTGGTACTGGAGCGGGCTTATGGGGCGATGGCGAGGGTATGAATGGACAAGCAAGAAGCTTTAAAAGTGGAGGTCAAAGTGTTAAAACAGGCTCATTAGGGGGATTTGGTGGAGGGGGCTACGGTTTGGTTCTCCCTGGAGGAGGAGGCGGATACTCCGGTGGTGGAGTGGTAGGAACTTTCGAAGTAGGAGCCGCAGGTGGAGGAGGTTCCATAAACAACGGAACTTCACAGGTTAACGAAAGTGGTGTAAATAACGGTGACGGTAAACTTGTTATAACTCTTATGACTTAAAACAAAGAAGTCTATGGTTGAACTCCTACGCTCCCTCCGTATTTTGATTCCAAGAAGTCTTAACGCAAAAATGGGTTTGGTGGTCGAAAGTTTTGTTCAGCCTGTATTTCCTGCGCGTGATTTATGGCATATCCATTGGAAATATCGACCAAAGACCGAAATGAGCCCATCTGATCTTAGGTATTTGTCGCTGAACTTTACATAAGATACCTGTAATATGGACACATCGCAAGTCATATGTCATGCCCAACTGGGCCTTACACGTTACAGAAATGCCAACGTAATAGGTATCAAACAACTAGGTTGAAAAAAATTAACTTTGAAATAAGTCATGAACGTGAATATACAAAAAACATTTTATATTTCAATTGCGGGAGAAAGACTACATCACTTACAATGTAACTGTTGTTTTACATCATATAAGTAGAGAAACATAGTTTTTGTCTAAGGCACTTGTTCAAGAACATTTCTCAACTGACGTTCAACTCCACCCTGCCGGAACAAAGCCTCCTTTTGACTTCTTCTGGTTCGAGGAGGAGAAAAGAACTCAGCTCTGTACAAAACGCGTCAAACTTTGAAGTCGCTGCAGCACGAGCTTCTGGACTGGTTAATCTTGTTTTCTGTCGTCAAACTAGTTTTTCGAGTGCGATCATCCGTTTATTGATAATCGATGGTCATAACTGAGCCCGCAGTACCAAGCGCACGGCTATCAGATCTTCTTTGGAGACTGTATCCTAGCAACATGCAGCGCATGCTCTACAAATATCTTACTCGATTCATGCAAAGTCTATCTGGAGTACGCCAAAATTGAGCAAGTGAAAGACTCTGCAGGATGGCTCATCTAATTTCCATTAAGTTTAACTTTTTCGAACAGAGTTTGAAGCTAATTTTGGGGAACTATTTGAATAACCTCACTCACATTTAACTAACAGTCGGCTAGGAGTACAATGAATTCGCTGGTTGACGACACTTTCCACAAGGCTTTGTTACTAAAGGTTAGGTTAAGTGAGGTCTTTTAAGCAAGAGAGGTCTAAACCCTTTTAACGTTACTATTTTGAGCAGTGAATTTGTGGGAGGTATTAGATTTGTTCCTATGAAAACGTACACATCGATTAAAACGTCTCACTACATGTATATTTTGTATAATTAGATATTGGTAAAGTTGATTTTTTGCAATGTAAACTCACGAGAGAACAGGAGCTGGGATAACAAGGTGAAGGATTCTTTTTTCTTTTTTAAAAAATTCAGGATACTTTTAATTTGATTTGCTTGACGAATTAACAAACGCCTTCACGTCATTGAAGAAAGGGCGAATATGGAACCGATAAGAACTGGTCGGTCTTTAAACCTCAAAAAACACACCCAAAACATGGGTGATTTGGTTTTTAGCGATCTCCTGTGGGTCAAAATCTTCAGTTTTAGAGTGAAATAAGCCGACTGCTTGGATAATCACTTAAAAATTTATCGAATGACAATGTAAATGGCCTGAAATAAGTGTTAGTTTCTGCATTCATGATGACAATCCTTCCCACATAAATGAGGACAACAACTACAATTACAGAGATGGTTCCCAACTCGAGCAGTTCAGTACTGTTGTAGTCTTTGACCCGCAGTAGTTTCTTGCCAAGCGTCAAGCCAATCTATTTCTCATTGGTCAAAATAGACAGATTGCGTTTCTCCCAATTGTTTTAACGAGGTTTTACGAAATTGCGGAATCAATTTATCCAAAATTAAAAATTGGATTAAGTCGTGACAAATCAAGAACGTGCTCGAATCTAATTCTGAATTAAAATTCCTCACAGGCTATGCTGCAATAATCAATACTCGAAGGTTGATTGACAGGTTCTGATTTGCCAAGTGCTTTACTGCCCCCGAAAAACATTTGTTTGTTCAGGTAATGACAGCTGAAATTTCCTGAATTGCGCTTCCAGTATCAACACGCCCTTTAAATCATGTTATATCAAACCTTAAATTGAACAGAACTACCCAGAAGAAATGAGCAGAAAAGTATTCAGAAGGTTAGTCTCATATCTCAGTTCATTCATTTTCTTCTACGTTCAGTACCTCATGCCAAAAGAAAACAATCTGCGCGAATTATTCTGACCTTACGTCTTAAAGATTAACGTACGGCACATTGAAGCTGCTCAGACAAACTGGTTTAAGCTTGTTCCTTTTAGCCTTTTTTCTTTATTCAAAAGATACAAACCGGCAAAAAAAAAATTAATAATAATTAATGAAAAAAATCACAATTGCTAAAATACATTTTCCTCAAAACTAAAAACCAAATCCAAAACGAAATATTCATTTCCTATAACTGGAATTCGTTTACTAAGTAACGCGTCTGTTTGTATTTAATTTCTTTTTATCACAATTAACAAAAATTCTGTAACTGTTAATTTTTCATGGCCTTTTCTGAAATGAAACGTTCACTGATGAGTGTTTCGTCTCTAAGACTGTGAAATATGACGCTCATTCTGTATTAGTCTGGAACAAAAAAATTAAGTCATTTACCCTAGTGAAATGTCAGGTCTTTTCGACAACTTTTCAGTTTAAAAACCCAATAAGATTCATACTGAACAGAAAATATTCAACGTTAATGTTTCAAAAATTTTCAACCCGAATTTGAAATACATAGTATGTTCTCACGCGATAACTTCGTATTTTATTCAAACAAAGATATTTGTCTATTATATTTTAAAAACCACCATTTCTTGCTGCCACTAAAGACACGTCTAGGATAAAGTTGTCATCATTTCGATTGCTCATTTTTACTTTCTTCTTTTCTTATCTCTGACACTTTCTCTAACCATTTACCATGATCGTTGCATTCAGTTTTATTTCAATAAGTCTTCCTCATCTCGGGACAACACGTCAATAATACAGGAAACTATGAATGTATTTTATTTACAGTGAAAGAGAAATAACATGCTAATTAAAGCCAGGGCAGAGCTGAAAGGTCGAAGTTTTTACACTCAACCTATTAAGATTAGTATGTGTTCCTGTATTCGAAAACCTGACATATCATCTTGTTTAACACTGCAAAACTACCAAAGCGCAGTCAGAATTGTGTATTGTTTTGTGCCTTGCTGGGGATAATTTATAACAATGATACGTAGAGAACTTTCGGAAGAGTGAATTCACGAACTATGTAAATAGTTTACTTCCTTTAAATGATTTTATTTTATTTTTTTTTGCTTTTGGAAGACAGCAGGAATACTTGATACATTTTTGGATGAGTTAATGAGGTCTTCAGACCTCAGACAGCCTTACGTTTTGCTTCTAAACTTTAATCGAACAAAATTAACTGTGATATTTAGAAAAAAAGAAAGATCTTCTGAAGGCAATCACCAAAGTAAACACAGAGAAATATCGTTAAAAATGGTAGCAGTGACTTCTGGAGATAGTCGTTGAGAGCAAGCAAACACGGTGTTACGTTACTGGAGTAACAATTTTTATCATTGTAACAGAATTCTCTCCATTAATAATATCATTATCCTTTTTACAATGGATTTGAATCTTTTTTGAAGCAATATTGGCCCAAAAGATGGCGGCTGTTAGTGGATTATGACGTAATCATTACGTCATGAAGTTGTTATGTGATGCTACTTGGAAAAGGGTCATCTCAGAGTTTAAAGCCGGGGCTAAGTGCAAAGTCTTTTTATGTGAAAAACAGTTTTTTTCCTTATCATGAAATAAAACTTATTTAAATTAGAGGGTTTAGCAGTTGACCTCACTCATAGTGAGAGATGATAGAATTCAGCAATCGATGGACATTCTGAAGGGTTTCATTGCTAAGACTAACAGAGGGGTCGTGGAAATATAAGATATAAAACAGTGTATTCCAGTCTAGTAGTTTTTCTTTTTTTCGTATTTTCAGATGCTTGATGTTCCATTTGTTCTTTTTCTCAACTTTCCTCTCGATCTCAACGGCGTTGACGCGCTTCGACATAACGGCTTCGTCATTTACAAACTTGTATGACGACTATGTACTTTTCGATTACGTCATATCCAGCCACCTGACTCAAGGCATTCAGGCATGTGCCCACCTTTGCTTGTTACAGTCAAATTGCCTCTCATTTAATTTTATAAAAACACTGGAACTTTTCGAGAAAGGTTTATGTGAGCTCAATAGAGTAAGTTGCCGAAAAAACAGTAATGCAAGCCTCACTAATGCTCTAGGATATGTATATGGTGAATTCATTGACGTGAAAACAAACCGATTTATATTTACCACCTTGGGAGCGAGAGGAAAAGATGGCCCTACCAAAGCACAACTTGAAGGCTACAAAAGAACTTCTCTAGAGGGGCAGGTAGATGTACAACAAGGCATTCAGTTTTGGAAAGTACCTGAATCCGGGACTTACGTTATAGAGGCCTTTGGTGCCTCTGGAGGAAATGGTACCTGCCAAACCTGTTCAGGATGGAAGCTCGGTGGACTGGGTGCAAGGATAAAAGGAACCTTCTACTTTAACAAAGGAACAGCATTGAAGATTTTGGTTGGTCAGCAGGGCCTATTAACCGAGTCTTTTAATCAGCGTCCGGGAGGAGGGGGTGGAGGAACGTTTGTTACGCTTGTGGACAATACCATAATTGTTATCGCTGGTGGGGGTGGGGGTGGGAGCTTGGCGAAACCTAGCTACGGAGATGGTGACCCAGGGCAAAAATCGGAGAATGGTACGCAATATGGTGGGTATGGCGGAATTGGTGGATTCCGATATCAAACAGTGAACAAAACTTTCGACTCCCCAGACATCAAAGCCAGCTCGGGGGCAGGATATAGGGGAGACGGGGATGCACCAACAAATACTGGCATCACTCCGGCTAGAAGTTTTCTTGCCGGTGGTACTGGAGGAGAACATGTAGCAGTACAAAATGGAGGATTTGGTGGGGGAGGATGTGCAGTAACTCATGGGGGTGGCGGTGGGGGTTATTCTGGTGGAGGAATTACCGGCACTAAGACTTCAGGAACCGCAGGGGGAGGGGGATCGTTCAATTCTGGTTTACACCAAGTTAACGACGCGGGAGTCAATAAAGGACATGGAAAGGTAATTATTACTCTGCTGCAGTGAAGGCCGAAGTGTTGAATGGGAGCTCTTGAAAAGTTTATTTTGAGGCAGTGGCTCAATATTCTTGGTTTGCAACCACGTGAGAAGGCGGCCATGTTTGTGGTCAATACAACAAACTGTTTTTTTGTAGAATTTACCTGAAAGTGGAGTTTAGTTCCCAGAGTAGAGAAATGCTTTTGTTCTTGATCACCAACATAGTCGCTGTGATGTCACGTGCAAACAAGCAATTAGGAAAGGAAAATTGTTTATGACCTACACTAGTTATCCGTCGGATGGATTGATTGGCCGCCATATAATGTTTGACACGAATTAAGAGGGGAATAGGCAGAGCCAAATCAGACATTTCAAGAGTACCATGCGAACAAACACAAACCAGTACCCCTCAAGTGAGGAAAATGTGTAAATCGACGACTGGACAAAGAATGACCACTGGTGCCTGTTTTCATCTAGTTTTTAGGTCAATTATAGACGATACTCAATTCTTTTTCATACTAGTAGAATAATGATGTCAAGAGACTTTCAGGGTTTCAATTAAGGAAAGTTTTATTTGAAGTCATAAAGTGCGATTTATTTCAAACGACCGCAAAAAAAAACCATCAGTAATTAAAAGGGTAGATTTTAAGAAAGCGTTCAAAATTACATTGAATCAGTTGTAAATAATTAGCATTCTGGTACAAGGTGACAGCTAGTAAGAAATATGTTATCAGATAGCTGATAAAAAACCACTGTAGAGTAAGATAAAAAATATCAATCCGTTCGTAATTCCCCTGTCATGTATCTTTGCCCTTCTACTCGGACCTGAGCCAGTGATAAAAGGTGATCATTTTTCTCTTGGTTCAGCTGTGTTTCAAGCTCTGAAACCTATAACACGAACAAACTATGTTCAGAGAAAACTTTTAAAAAATGTTGCAATATTTACATCAATAAAGGATAAACAGGTTAGCTTAAAAAATAATATTTGCTGCTACATCGTTTAGAAAGTACAACAAGAGAGAGTTTCAAATTTCGTCTTCGGGGAAGGTGGACGCCTTTCGCTAGTTTTTGACTAGAACGACTTTTTGTCAACTTTCTGGCTTACCTTACCTTATGTTTTAGACATTTTGACAAAATTTGTCCTCAATCAGTTGCCATGGTTACGAGATATGAGAGAAAGAGATTCAATTGGTTGTTAAAATCCTGAAAGCCTTTTAAGCTTAAGTGTATTTTGACAAAGGTGAATTTTCAGTAAAATGGAAGACCACCGTTATCGTGGCAGTCAAGAGGGTCGCAATTTTCAATGACGATGATGCAGTCTGTTCTAAAATAAAACTGTATTAAAAGGAGCAAAAATAACTGTTTAAATACGCAGTTTAAGGAAAATTAAAGGCACTTACTTTAAAGTAAAGTTCCCGTAATTTCTGAATTGTTTTATTGTCCATTTTCTCAACACACTGAGTCTGAGCTTGGTCGCTGCACTTACTATGTAAACCTGATTCCCTGACAAATAGTTAAGTAACAATGGTGTTAAAATAAATATCGCTTCTACAGGAAATACAGGTTTTCGAATGGACAAAGCTGAACGATTCTCTTACCATCTCCCGATAGCAACATCCAGTGACTTTTTCAAAATACTGAGTTCATTTTTGTTTCGTTCTCGCAAGACTGTGACCTCCTGCTGCAGCTGATCATTTCTGTAAAATAGTCAATGACAAAGTTCGCAGAACGCTGGAAGGTAATCTTTTCAACCGAATACACAAGAAACGAAAACGAAACGTCTGTAACAGAGCGTCCACAGCGTGAAGCCTGAGTCATGGTGTTTGAACTGGAGTAGCTCAGTTTTGTTTGATAATGAATAAAAAAAAGCAACAACCCCGTTCTCGTGTCTTTGGAACTGTCCAGCCAGATCTAAACAACGCTTTGTTACAATTTGGTTAAGTTGTTGTTGTTGTTGTTTTTTTTTTTTAAGAAAATGAGGGTTACTTATTGTACGCTGTATGCAAATTTTTACGGAAATTCAATGACTGGATTTTGCGTAAACCTAATTAGTTCAAACTTTAGGCTTGTTTTCAGTTATCCTTGTTGCCATAGTAAGGATCGCAATCTTACATTTAACCTAACAAATGTAATGTCTTGAAAACTATACATTGCTCGTGCCATATTTGAGCTTAATACTTGCAACGAGTGTTAAAATAACACCACAATGAATGGCAACGATCGACAACCTATCAGACTGTGTTCAGCCACCCTAATTTAATATTCTGCTTTTGGAATACTGTCGGGAGGGAGGCACTGCAGAGAAAAGATGTGTACGGTTCGCAACCACAGTCACATTCTGACTGACAAGTGGCTCGGTAACATTTTGTCAATCGTCACGGATTTAGAATATAGTACGTAAGATTGCCGTCTTAAATCTAGCTACTATCTTGGACAAAAAATGTTAAGAGTTTATCACTTTCTTACCCTACAAAAATACCCTAAAAAAAGTGCATTTTTTGCAAAATTCTTAACATTTTTTCCAAGATAGTAACAAGGCACGTCACCTCGCCCCACCCTGGTCGATGTTGTTAAGTCAGGGTCAGAAATGATCCAGCTGTACTTCAACATTTCCTTTGGCGGGGAAGGGGGAGGGAGTTTTGGGGGTTGCCAGTGCTTTCAAGAGCTTTATCTTGAAAGTAGACGTGGCAACGTCCATTTGTTCTTAACATTTTTGTCCAAGAGAGTTGCTTGACAGTAAATAACGTTCCAAACAGTTACCTCATACCTAACAGATACGGACTGACGGAAGGCGGTCTCATTTTTAAGTGAGCTTTCAACTTCCTTAATTTTCAACTGTGCTTCTCTCAAGTTCATCTCTTGTGTCGTGCTTGCTACTTTTAGATCATAAAATTCTTTGTTCTTCTCTTCAAGTTGTTTCCTACGAAAATATTAAAGTACACTGCTTTTTCACCATTCCTTTGCTTTTTGATTACTGTTGATAGAACAGCTCTTTTCCATGGGATATTGCTGTTAACTTTCAACGAGTGCTTTTAAAATATTCTTTCCTGGTTTATTTTCGCCCTTTAGCTGCCATTTCTTTTCAAAAACGGTAGCCTGGGTCGACAGAGCTTATTTTGCTATTGCGTGATCCTTTTTTATTTTCTTTGACTTTGAGTGTCTAAGTTTATCCCTATAGGCTATAGTACTCCCATACTTTCTTTTAATGAACTGTTCAGTTCAAAATTGAATCCGTTAGTCGTTGCCCATATCAGATACATTTCTTCTTCAGTAACTGTTAGTGAATTCATAAACGACTAAGTCAGTGAAAATTTCTGTCACCTCAGCCTTTTTTAAACTTAATTTAAATACGTTCAAAGGAATTTTATCCTTTCAAAGTGTGAAAGACATTTTAGTCTGACTGAAACAGAGCTCATTATAAAGCAAGTAAGCAGGCAGGTAAGCAGGTTTAAGTTTGGTCCGACCAATGTAATGCAACGACTAACGGATTCAGTTTTCAACAAGACAGTTTATTAATAAAACCTACGGCGGTAGATCTGACCTGATTGTGATTTTTTATCTTCACTTTAAGGCACAATTAACGGGAAGAAGGATTTTTTTGGCATTTAAAAGGATTAAGAAATGTTTAAGTTTTAAGGTTGTTTGGATTCCCTCCTCGCGTGGGTATTTTTACGATACCTTTGTGTCTCTTGTTAATATATCTCGTTATTCATTTCGATTCATTTGTAAAAATCTTCGTCACTTTAAGATAGTCAATAGATAATATACATTTGAATAAGTACTCCTTACTTTACTAATTCCAGCTCAGCATGCTTGACAGTTGCTTGCACATCAAGTTTTTTCTTCAGCTAAAGAAAAACGAAATGTATAATTGTCAAAAAATAATTCCTGAATTTTTCCATAAAAGTTTTCGTTTCGAATACACTTTAAGTATATATACAGTCGAAACACCTTGATACAGATAGAACCTAGCGTTGCCATCACGGAAGTGTCCGCATTCCACTGTTAAGGTGATTCCCTAGTTTTGCACTGCGCATCTCTTACTGCGCATAACAAGATGGCCGCCGTAAAAAAGAGCATGTGAAGTAATATTATTAAAATGAAGTTGACTGAAGAGAAACGCTATTGGAATTTTTGCTTGCTGTTGTTTCTTGCCGAGGTGAGACTCAATGTGTTGGGAATGTGCATAACGTAAGCAGTACGCGTGTTGCTGAGTTCGACCTCCTCTCGGAGAACCTCGATAGTGGATGTTTAACTTGTGCTTACTCACTTTGATTTTCATTTAAACACTTTCTTTATCACATTGTGTCCTAAATGTGATATCTCGATGTAAATTCTGTAAAAACGGATTTTTTAATACTTTCTTCCCCCTTTCACATACATTCTATTTTGAAACTCGCCCCAGTCCTCTCTCAAAAATCGGAGAAAATGCGTTTGGTGCGCACTTTCTGCAGCTCTACCGCAAAAACGAGTACGGTGACCCCCATTTTTTATTTCATGATTTTAATAAGGACAGTGCTTCCTTTCGATGAGAAAAAAATTGGCACAAATCTATGTTCAGTTTTTTGGCAATTTTACTAAATTGTACGGATTGAGCCATCACGGGTCGAAAAGCGCGCGTCCAATTTAATTCTACTTTGGAGCGTAAAGTAAAAACAAGGGCATTAAAGGGCATTTTTCTGGTACGTAAGTGGATAAACAATACATTAAAGTCAAATTCTGTGTGATGTCACATGCATCATCGAAAAAATCTCTCCTTTTTGTCTAGTTTTGCGCTGCCCGCGGTTTTTGTAAAAGGGTCCTAAATAGCCGTATTTGTCAGCATTGTGACGTCAAAACGAGCACGGTGACCCCCACTTTTTATTACTTTTTTATCATCTTCTTGACTTGTTACATCAGTGTACCAAGTTTTAGCTAAAATCTATGTTAGGTTCTTTTACTATGGAATCACCTTAAGGACTTTTCGTATCTTTGGGACCAACAAAGACTGTTCGTAATAGGGCGGTGATCGTAAGGAAGGGCCGATTGTTCTTTTCAAAATCTCTAATCCTCACTTGAGGTGCTCATGTAAATACACGTATCAATTTCGTCAAGACTAACGATATTTTGAGATGGTGACACTTGAAAGTTCCAAGAACTGCCTGATAAACCTGCAGCCTTACACTTTTCCTCACTTCCAGATCGAACATGGAATTTGGGATGTTGGTCAATTTTTGAGGAGAGCGGGAAGGGGGAAACCGGCACCGGAGAAAAATCTCGCAAAAAGGGAAGAGAACCAACAATTAACCCAACTTCCATCGACGCCGGGACAATACAGCCCGGGGGAGGGGGACAGGGGGGGGGGACTCCGCATATGAAAGTGGTGGGGATGCTCGTCGTCTCGCTTAGGGGTGTAAATTTCGGATTTTGGTCTCGCTCAGGGTGTTCTGGGTAAAACGCCATCATATTTAGCCGTGAAGGTCTCGTTTGGGGTTGCACGCGAAAAAATATAAAAATATAACCTATAACGTGGTCTCTTTTAGGAGACAAAAAAAGCTTGGGCCACGCTCAGATAGGTCTCCTTTAAGAGTTTAATTCAAATTTTCCGACGAGCATCCTTACCCCTTTCATATGCGGAGTCCCCCCCGGACAATACAGACCTTTAGATTCAAGGACAAGGACAGCTGCGAGGACGCGATATAACTTACAAGATTTTTTGCGTATTCTTAAAAACTATATACCCCGGAAAGCTTCACTGAACTTTTTTTTTTTACCAGAAAAGTTATCATGGTTATTTTTATGGAAGGAGATTAAGCCCTTTCCCGATTGCAAAGTGATAAGAATTCTAGCACTTGAAAACCTGTTTCCTACACTGCCACATTCTCGCTAATACTAGGAGTAAAAAGGCCACGGCTACCACGTTTTCCAGCCAAAACAACGCTCGCAAACGCGCGCGCACCACTTAGTATTGGGAAAATATCGTATTCGTAATCGCCAGTCGTCTTAGAATCTGAAGGTCTCTAGGGAGCTAAGACGAAAACGACAACGAGAACGTCAAAGATGCAATAGGTTTAGACAAGCAAAACAAAACTATGCACGTGTATCACTGTACGACCACGATGTAAAACTACCCAATTTCGCATTTTCGGCCTGAGGACGAGAAAACAAGATGATCGAAATTCTAATTCTTTTTTTGAACTTAGATACAGTTCTTTAGAATTCAACTGCACAAAATTCAAAATTCATTTGAGAGATTAAGCAACATGGAATAAGATCGATGAATTTTGAAGCAGCGTAAATTCACTTTTTAAGAGACGTTTTCGTCACAGCCGTCGTGGTCGTTGCTCAAGCTCCCTCTTTATGCCTTGTTTCGTAAGATCTTGAAAAGGATCTGCTAGACTTTTGTAGTTCTACGTGAAAAGTTTCAAAGCCTTATAGTAACTTACTTTGGCAACGAGAAAAACGTTAACGGTACCGATCCACGCAAGCAGTATCTGTTCAATTGTTAGGGAACCTGGGAAAAATGACTATATTGTCAAGTTGTCCAAATAAGTTTCGAACGTGAAGCATGGTGTGTTACCACAGTTTTCACTGACAAGTTTGTCACTATAGACTTTGTCGGATACCTTACCTCATCCCCCGCGAGCAGAGGTTTCTCTTTTTGCATGGCTTTTAGCGTTTATCAAATTAAGTCGTTCCGGTCGCTTGTCAGTCTAACCATGCAAGAGAGAAACCTCTGTTCGCAGGATACTTACCTCAGTGTTAATCGACTGCAAATCTTGAATGGTTTTGGTCAGGGTTTTCTTTTCTTCCAGCTCTTCTTTTAACTGTCCTTTTACTGCTTTCAATGAATTCTTTGTCTTGGTAAGGGAATCTAGTCAGACGAAATCAATAAAATATATATATTTTTAAAACAGGAATGAGGAGAAGGCAAAGGAAGGCAAAGGAAATTGGGCTAGTGGTGCATCGTAATCTGTCAAGATGGGGACCGGTTTGTTGAAATTGGGGGCTTACAATGTAATTGCACCAATTTCTAGGCGATTAGGACTGACCAAGAGAGAATAATGGGTCAGAGAGGGAATCTTAGAGTGTTGGCCGGGATATGTGAATTTCACTAAAGCTGTTTTTAGAGGTTGTAATTAAACAAAGGTATAATTCCTGAGACGTCCGCACAATTTAATTGAATTTGCATGAAAAGTCATCAAGTTCAAACGCGACTGCCTCAACGTAAACAATGCAGAATCTTGTAATGGCGATTGTTGAATTCTCTCTTGTCGACACTGAATAAAGGTTTGTGGACCTCTCCGGTAACCAACTGATTCCGATTAATTTTAAGCGTTTAATTGGTCTAAAAATAACTTTGGAGAAATTCACATATCCCAAGGGCTAGACTGGGCGTTTCCCTCTTTGTGCCATTATATATTCTCTCTTGGACTGAAAAATCATGTAAAAATTGTTAGTCTAACGGATTGCTCGTCAGAATATTATTCAACCTGATTCCGTAAATGATATCCTTAATATCCCAAAATTGTTACCTTGTGTGGCCTTGAGTTTTACTGGATACAAATCCATGTCTTTGAGAGACGCTTCCAGAATTCCTTTGTCCCTGTTCAGTGAGTCAATTTCAGCTGACATCTCTTGTCGTTTTCCCAACAATTCAACAACACTTTTCTTTTCAGCCTTTACTTCTCCCTCGCATTTCAAAAGTTGTGACTTCAGAGATTCATTGTCCTGCTTTAGGCTGCGAATAATTCCTTCTGCTCTGGTAATAGTGTTTTCTTTCTCGGACATGACTTCCTCCATTTTTTGTTTCACTTGTGACGCCGAGCTCTTCATCTCTTCAAAACTTTCCAGTAGATGATCTTTCTCGCTTACGGATCGAGCCAAGTTTTCCTTCAAGCTGGTTATCTCGTACTTGAAATGACTATTCTCCTTTTGTGCGGCTTCGAGTGATTTGTGGACCTCACGTAAACTCTCTTCCTTCCCTGACACAGAGGACCTCAAACGTTCTACTTCTTGGATCAAAAACTCTTTAGACACTTCAGCGGACGACAGGGCCGAGTTTACTTCTGCGATCTCCGCAAACCTCTGCTTCGATTCTTCTTCCAGTGTTTGAACTTTGTCAATCAAACTCGAATTCTCTCTTTTAAGGCTCTTAATGTGACATTCCAGAGATGTTATCGTGTTTTCCTCGGCTTGCTTTGTCTTACCTAACTCAGCCAGTAAATTTTCCTTTTCTTTGTTTAAAACAAGAAGCAGACCCTCCTGTTTGTCTAGCTCGCTGTGTAAATGTTCCACCTCTCCACGCAGTTCACCTTTTTCTTTCATAGCAGAAATCTTAAAGTTTTCGTATTCGGAGCGAAGCTTTCCGTTTTGGGACTTCCCATCTTCCAAATTTGAGACAAGCGCTCTGGTGTTCACCTCGCTCTCATTCAAACTTCTTAACAAATCTTTAACAGCTTCCTTTAGCTCTTCTTCTCTTCCCATAGCTTCATCTATTTCTGATTTTTGCGAGCTTATTGTTTTCTCCAGATCTGTTATCTTGTTTTTCAACTCAGTTCCTTCGAGTTCCATTTCTTCCAGAAGGGACGACTGCTGTTTAAATTCTTCTTCTTTACCGTCTAGTTCGCTTTTCAATGTAGTCGCTTCTATCGCCTTCTCGTTTAACTTTATCTGCAAAGTAGCAATGTTTTCTTCAAGTTTTTTATTTGTCTGAGCAGTTTCGAAGGAGGATTTTTTCAAGATCTTAACTTTGTGCAACAAAACAGCTATTTTTCCTTCTTTGCCATCACAATATCGCTTCTGTTTTTCCAACTCTTGAAGCAGACTTTGTTTCACCTCGTCAGCACAAACTTTCTCACTTTCTGCCAAATTCAGTAATTCCTTCACTCGATTAAAATTGTCTTGAAGACTAGAAAGATTGCTTAATGTTTCTTTTAACTCCACCTCAGATGTTTCGTACTTCCCTGTTCTTTCCTGCATCAGTAATTCTTTCCTTTCCAGTTCACCTTTAAGCCAAGATGAGCTATTTTCTAATTCGTGTACTTTACGTCTTTCATTACTCAGCTCCTCCATAACTACCTTTTTTTCTTGGTCTCTTAAATTTTGTTTCGTTTCAAAGTCTGACGCAGCGTTTATCATATTTGCTTCCATCATTTCCAACTCCTTGTCTTTCTTCCATAAACGTCCTTTTAGCTCTGAAAGCTTTTTATCAAGCAGATCACTTTCATCCTGCGTTATTTTCAAGTCCCTTTTCAGCTTGGCCTCATTTTCGTCAGCTTGTTGTACGAGGCTGGCCATGTTCACTCTCATGTCTTCTACATCTTTGTTTGAGTTTTGCAATTCTTTCTTCAAAGTGGTGATTTTATCCTCTTTCCCTTTAAGACTTTGGTGATATTTAACCGCATTATTCTGAATAACGGCCTTTAATTTCTCTGCTACGTTTTCTCTTTCCTTGAATCCTTCTTCAGCTGAGTTGAGGATATTTTTGATTTCGGTGACGCAGTGCTCTTCCTGTTCCTTTAATTGTGTATGGAGATCTTCAACTTCTTTTTGAGCAGCCTTTAACACTTCCTCCTTCTCGCGCAAGTTGCTTTCCAGTTTCAAAATTGTATCTCTTGCAAGAACAATTTCTGAACTTTGTATTTGTCTAGCTTGTGTCTCTTCAATCAATTTTGTGTTGCATTCTTCAAACAGTTCCTCCAATTCACCCTTTTTCTGCATGATGTCTTTATTTGCACCTAACACTTCCGCAATTCTTTCTTCCTTGTCATTCAATGCTTTTGTCAGAAAACAAATCTCTTCCTTTCTCAATGTTAAGCTTGTCTCCAAAGATTCTTTCACTGACCGGAACTCACTTGTTGCTGTTTCAAGCAAACGCTCAAGTTTTTGTATTTCGTTTTCTTTCCACATAATTCTTTCATCGAAGGATCTTTTCGCATCTTTCACAAGTTCATCCTTTATTGCCATTGCTTCTCTCCAACATTGCTCCCGTTTTTCCATTTCAAGTTTATGATCATTAAGGGTTTTGTCGAGTTTTTGTTGCAGCTCTTCGACTTCTTGTTGCTTCAAGGTTACCGCACTTGCCAACGACCTTTCCAAGGCATCTTTTTCATTTCTTCCTTTCATAAATTTTTCGTTCAGAACTTCTAGCTCTTCGGAAAGGTGTTCTAATTCCGCATCAAGCTTATGTTCTTGTTGCTTTGCATTTTCTAATAACCTACTTAAACTTGCAACGTCGTTTTCTCGCTCATCTAAACTTATCTTAAGTTGTTTATTTTCGTTTTGCGACTCCTCATAGTTGCTTCTCAAATTGGTTATCGTCGCTGCAGTGGATTCCTCTTTGATAATTCTGTGCTCAATTTCCATAGCAAATTTCTTTTCAGTGATGTTCAATTTTTCCTTCAACAAGTTCTGCTCTTTATCTTTCTCCAGTAAAGCTAGTTCCAAGTTCTTTTGAGTTTGAAGAGCGTCAGAATTTTCTTCTCGTAGTTGGCGAATCAGGGTTTCCAGATTTTGTCTAATTGATTCCAGTGACTCAACTTTACACTCGAACTCACACAACGCGTTGCTTTTCCTCTCTAAATCTTCCTTAAGACTTTTTTCTTCCTTTTCAAGGAAGTTCCTCTCTCCTTCAATTAATTTCATCGACGATTTCCAGCTGTCAAGATCACGAGTCAAAGAATCAAAGTCTTGTTGCAACATTTGTTTCTTCTGCGCTTCGCTCTCACATTTCTTCTGGATGTCATTGAGTTGGCTTTCCTTTGCACGAATGTCTTTTACTAACTCTGTGACATCCTTTTCCAGTATTCCTTTTTCTGCCTTCATGTCACCCATCTTTTTCAATAAAGAAGTCAACTTTGTACTGAGATCTTCTTTGTTTCCTTTTTCCAACCATTCGCTTGTTAACTGAGTCTCCACCCACGCTAACTTAGCTGACATTTCTTCGATTTGCTTATCTTTCTCCCTTAGCATCATCTCGTGACGTTTGGTTTGTTCTTTTATCAGCTTTTCCAACGACATCAATTCGCTTTCTTTGTGATCTAATAACTTCTGTTGTTGTCCTTGTAGTTCCATCATTTCTTGCCTTCTCGTTTCTGAGGCCACGCGCAAAACCTCGGTTAGTTTATTTCTTTCTTCTTCGTTAGCTTTCATGATATTCTGTAAATTTTGAACGGTTACGTGTATCTGCTCGATTTCTGATTGTTTTTCAGCTAACTCCTCTTCCATGCGTAAAATGTCTTTCTCGTGGCGTTTATTTTCTTCTTCTTTAGCCTTTAGTTCGTTAATTGACGATTCCTTTAACATTGCGATCTGCCTCTCCTTTTCTTCAACTACACTATCAAAAGCAACTTTCGTATTTTCACTGTCATTGTCTTTTTCGTCTATGACCGCTGATAACAGTGCTTGTAGCTTCTCTATCTGCTGCTCCAGAAGTTTAATGCTTTCTTCGCTCGACTTTTTTACAGCTTCAATCTCTATTTCTTTGTCTGCCACCCTCCTCTGGTAAGAATTTAAAACCTCTCTGCCCTGTGCATTAGACTTTTTAGCTTCTTCAAGCCAGATTCTTAGTCTCGTTACTTCCGCGTCTTTTGCTCGAAGTTTACTTTCGGTGGATTTTTCAGCAGAAGCAAGGATCTCGTCTTTAGTTCTTGTCAGCTCATCCAAAGTTCTTCTTAGTTCTGAAATCTCGCCGTTTCTGGCATCTAGCACATTTTCGTACGACAACCTCAATTCTTCGACGTCAATGTTTCTCGATCTTACGGCATCCTTTAAAGCTGCTTCAAGACTTGCAATCTCACTCACCTTAGTTTTATATTCCTCCTGCCAGTAGGTTCTGACCTCCATCAGCTCTTTCTCTTTCTCATCGAAGGCAACTCTTGTAGATCTAGGTGACATTTCAGAAGCGGTTTTCATTTTCTTTTCACTTCGAGGGAAACAGCCAAGTTGTTTATCAACTTCAAATCGGTCATTTACTGTTGGACTGGAAGCCATTTAAAATGAATCGTTAGGAGGTTTTTCCTACTTTTGACCGATAAACTTTATCCATGACAGGAAGAATTTGGCCCTAAATTAATTTGGAATCTACTGATGCGTTTGTGACGTCATAAAGTTTGCGCGCTCGCGCAAGGTTTTTCATTTCTTTTTAGAATTTCTGACGAGCATTTTAGAGGTATTCTAACATGTAAGTTTCGTTCTACAGTAAGCTAGACTATTTACCCTAAGCGCAATAGCCAAATCAGATGCTTCCTTCTTTCCCAGATGATGTTTTTTTATAATGGCTGGTTGACGTTTTGTTGCTCTCTTTTCATCTTACGTCTTCACTTTTTAAGTTAAGACAAAAGCATTTACAACCAGTTATTTTGTTTTCAGTCGTTATAAACGTTAATTCCGTCAGGTTATTTGTTCAAACATTAGAGAGATAAAAATATCACGATTACGGCAAAAGGCAAACGCCAGATTCGAATACGAAATGAGCAGATAATAAAAAAATTCCCAATAAAAGTAATTTTCTGGATGAAACTGGCATAAAGCTACTTATCTCTGTGTGGATATGATGCCCAGTAACCGACAAGTGAAAAAACGTTTGTCACGTGGTATGAACTGATTCTAATTGTCTCTATTTCATTAGCCATATTCTTGACAAGCTGCCTGGACTGAATAAAAATTTTCATCCACGACGCTTCCTTGGTATGAGCGTAGCCTGCGTAGTTGGCTTAATTGATTAGCGGGCGAGTGCTGTAGTATAATTTTTTTTTTCCGCGGCGAAGCCTCAAGAAGATTGGGACCAGGAGCCCACTTATGGGTTAGGGTTATGAACTTATGTGCTTCTGTTGCGACCAAGTCAAATTGTGTTTACAATATTGGACATCAGGAGAAGTGATTTCTTTCATTTTTATACTGAAAATTCAAAAAACAATTTGAGTTCAAAGTTTAGGTCCTACGGCCATGGTAAATGCCTGTTTGTTGCACGCGAAACGCGTTGTTTATGATTCGTTTCTTTGGAGCAACCAAAATTAAAATCAGCACAACACAAGACAGTTATAAGAATTTCCAGTCCTATCAGCAGCTTCAAAAACGAATGTCTAAATTTCTCACAAATTGAGGAAAAATAAAAATGACAATTTTTTCAGGCTTGCTTTGAGTGCAAACAAAACTGATTCCTTGGCTAAAATTACTGGTAGTGGTTTTTTCTTTAATTGTTGGAAGTTAAAGCTTAAAATTTACTTAGTACCGCTAAGGAATTTTTTTCATTTGTTTGTCTGTTTTTTTTTTTAATACATTTCTAGTATTTCTCCTTGTAATGCACCCACCTAGTATACACCCACCATACTATTTGGTACAGAACAGTACAGAACACTACAACAGTTTGAGCTACCAACTCTGTCCTCTCTCTTTTGACATTTGTTAAATTCTCCAGTAGAAAGCATCCATTATTTTTGACAACTTTGTCATAATTCAGTCCTGACACAAAATCCTTGTGCTTGCTAAAAAGCCAAAAAGGCAGGTTTCATCTCCATATCAATGAAATTTTCTTCCCTTTGTATGTACCTGCCAACTTTTTTTAATCTATAGATATGACATGTTTATCCTGAGAGTGCCAGGATTTTTCATAGGAGTGCAATAATATCCAAAGATGTCTGAAGACATTCCAACTTTGACATTCTGAAGAGTTCAGTCTAACACGAACATGGGAACACGAAGGAACATGACCTCATCTCCATTAACTTTCCCAACTAAAATAAGAAAATTCAGAGAACGTCTATCATTTACATGGACTTTTCTTTTCTCTCATTGCTTCCAATTTCTTTAAATTATTAATATGTTGTTTTCAAAATGTGTCAGTTAATGCTGTAATGGCTGAAACCCTTCTACCAGGTATGAGAAATTGGAACACAGGGGTTAAAGTAGGTGTGAGATTGAAGTTTTCGATCCGCAGGAAATCACGCCTTACACTTGGCAGGTATAATTGTCTAGTATACTCACCAGGGTTGAACCGCAAAGGATAATCATATTCAAATTAACTACACTTCATGAAGTACAAATATCACATTTCTCTCGAGGAGTCATGGTAATCAGGCCACTTGCTTCTTCCCAGATGGCCAGATTGCACGATTCTGTGGTTGGTCAAGTTCACATAATTGAAGGTTTGATTCAATCTTGTTGAGCAGGAACATCGGGATCCATTGCAAATCCTCTGTGCCCTGTCACGATAAGGTCATTGGTAGTATTACTGTGTGGAAGGTTGTTACAAAAGAAGGCACACAGCTGTATAGCTGTTCCCTCGGGATTTAGCTACTCCCACTATAGTCACCATAGAATACCTCTGCCTACATCAGGTTTACCATGTCCAGGAAGCCATTTGAACTGAAGCAATTCTGATGTATTTACATAACATATTCATTATTGTTGACAGTGTAGATAACATACACAGCAAATTTTGTGGTTTGGTGGATCTAGCTGTTCCTCCTGTTAACTGTCTTATACAAACTTTCAAAATGTCCAAACACTCCAGGCCATAAACATAATGAGCATGGCGTCCCCGTGTTTTGGATAGCAGTTCCTCTTGCCATTGGAACCACTTTAAAGTTGGTTTTAGTATATACACACTCAGTGATCTTGGTAATTCAAGCAATCTGATTGGTTAGCTATCTCGGACTATGACGTTATATTCACCGCGCTAGGCGGTGAATATAAAGCCGAGCAAAGTCGCTGTCGTGAACTGGGTGTTTTGCCAAAGTTTCAAAGTAAAACCTGTTTGAAAATACACGAATATCCAAGTGCTGATGACTTTGAAGGCAAGAAAAGACTTCATGGTGTTTAAACAGCGTGATTTATTGTGAAGTGGTTTACTTTAGCTGACTTTTTGTACGCTCGAAGCTATGTTTACCACTACAGAGGAAAACGAGGTCGCTTTGTCACTGTTTTGTGATTTCGGGATTTTCTCGCAAGACCAATTTTGCCTATAAATAGAGGTTAATTTATGGAGAAGAGAGGAAGGCAAATATTTTCGAAAATTGTACGTGCCAGCAAGTTAACAAGGCAAAGAACTTTGGAGATAAACAACGCTTACCTTGATCGCAGCCGCTGTTGACAGCATTTGCAAGAAGCGACGAAGAAAACTTTCTCATTCACGGTGAGTTGACAGAAACAAATAAAGCTCTAGATACTTTTCTTCTCAGAATTGGGTAGTAATTTAAATTTTCGGCGTTTTCTTTTAAACCGTTGATGCTAAAGCTTACAAAACTCGATACAAAAGGATTAAAACTATCATTTGCCATGTTTGAAGATACTGTAAAGATCTAACTTTTGCGCATCCACTGTTTACGGCTTCGTGTTCACGCATGAATTTTCACCCGTCAATCAAACTAATGGTTTTTTAATGGTTTCCTTTCTGATTCTGTTGAGATCACTTCGTGTGAATATACTAAAACAATTATTCACCTCAGGCTCAGTTAATATTGTTGAATAATCCCCTCGACTTCGTCTCGGGGATTATTCAACAATATTAACTTCGCCTTCGGCGAATAATTGTTAAATATACGGTAAATGAGTAGATAGTTCCTTCACTACTGTGAACACCGTAGACACTGAGTAAACCGTAGACATCCCCCTAATCAGTATTTTTGGCGCGTACTTCCACATGCCTCTACAAACCTTTTGATCAGTGGAGTTCTTAGCGAAAAAGATTCCTTCATGTATAGGGGAACGTAACGTACCCAACAAAAGTCTCATCCAGTCCCCTCTCTTCAGCAAAATCTAACATGGCGTCCATACGACGACCCATGTTGGGGTTTACTTCGCCTCTTGACACTTTTTCAATGCTCAAGATATTTGTATGAGAAAAGTCTGGTGGCTTTTCTTTCTTAGGTCTTCTCAGGCACGATATAAACAAGATTATCAAAGTGAAATTTTGAAATGATGTGGGAACAGCTGTGGGGTTGATCCTTGATCAGACAAAGACACAGTCGATTTATACGCCCGAGTCTACGTACCTCGTGGAGTTAAGAATGTTTGCGTTGTTTTCCGGGCTATGGAAGTACCTTTTTCAGAAAGACGAATACTGCATTCTTATTCTTGGCTTGGACAATGCAGGGAAATCGGTAAGTTGAGCTTAACAATAACTTACGTACCTCTGTGGTAGGTACGATCCAGTCAACCAATTTTTTCGGAAATTACGTAGCTTTGAAGATGGACCACTTCTCTCGATCGGTTGGATCAGCCTTTTCAGAAATTTAGTACTGGTACATGTAACCATTCCATGTCGAGACCACTTATATCATACCCTCCCTATATATCTACTGTGTCTTCCAAGGAAAGCTAGGAGGCCTTGATGCATTTCTTTAGCAGATCACATGTAAAAATATGAGAATCTGGAAGTCTGGAAGTCTGATTAGTCCAGAAACAATACATCTGACACCGTTTTGCTCTGATCGGCTGAAGATTAGGTTTGACATCCTCCAGGACTGCAATTTTGCAATTTTTATCATGTTTGAGTGAAACATAACCGATTTAATGACCAAATTTTCCTTGGTTCATGTTTTCCTTTTTTTCCTTTTGTGGCTGATAATAATATTGAAGATGAAATGATGAACTTATGAATTTAAGTAAATAATGATTTTAATAGAGGTAGCACTTCCCCGCAGTGGTTCTTTGTCCACCTGATTCCTGGTTGAATTGAAATTTGGAAATGTAGGTGTTTGGGGATAGGGGAGAACTGGAGTACCTGAGGAAAATCCTCTCAGAGCAAACAAGAGAATCAACAACAAACTTAACCCACATGACATATGGCGTCAATGCCGGGATCTGAACTAGGGTGCAAAGAAAGTCGGCTTTACAGCCTGCCATTGGGGCAGGCTGTAGCTAGCATGTACTAGCCCACAAGTCATTTCAACTGGCCCCAAAACCCCTTTTTATTAGCAGGATTGATTACAGTCCTTCTGTAATTTTGATTTTCCCCAAAAAACAGCACTTGCCTGTTGGGCAAGTTGAGA